TGAAGTTCTTACAGTAAGTGCCACACTTTTTAACAACAAAAAAGAGGCGCCAGTACTACGTACTCTTGAGTACCACCTGGGGGGGAGCACTGGGCAGGCGTGGTGTGCCATCCTACTTACCTCCATCAAGTTTACTCAGAAAATAATATCTACAGCATTCTATCAATAGCTGGTTCCGCAAGAACACCAGGAGGACAGCTTAGAAAGTTTCAGCTTCTGGATAAAACCTCTTTTTAAAGAATGCTTACTGTTGTAAAATGTGGGTGGGGAATGCCACAGTTATAAAATATTTAAAAAATTCCCCGATGGACTTTTGAATTGTTTCCTTTAAGCACAATGAACTAAGAATTCCCAGGTCATGAAATAAAAACTTCTTGCCACAAGTTCCAATACACTCCCTTTCTGAAATGTTTACTTGCAGAGAATTTACAGCAAAAGCTAACGTTATAAAGGCTCTAATCAGATCCAAACTGTTGGAACCTCTGTCTGTGCCACTGAAAGAACCAGACAGTCACCAGGTTCAAACTTTTACTTCCTTCTCAGGAGAATCGTCTTTTCTTTTCTTTTTTCTTTTCTTTTCTTTTCTTGTGACTTTTTCTGATTTCTCGAATGAAGGGAGTAAAGTTTCTGGGAAGTTAGGAAACAGAAGAAACCCCATTCAAAACTCCATGTAACAGAATCACCTCCAGACTGTCACTATTTTGTGGGAGGGTACAATCACATCCAGGAAATTTAGGTTTGCACAGTGGAGTAAAGCTTTGTGGGGAGGGGGGGTAATGGTAAATGACTATTTGCAGCTAGTAAAGTGATCAGGGAAATGCACTGAAAGATGTGGAATAAATGACTGATGAACAGGAAGACATATAACCACCATCATGGGCATAGCCAAGGGGAGCCGGGGGCAGGGGAGCAGCTAGATCAACTAAAACAATAGAAATACTTGACTAACTGACTAATCATGTCGGTTATTCCCCCACAACAAAAGTCCTCCCCCTCTAACAAAGTCAATCCCCCCCCAACAAAAATCGTGGTTATGCCCATGACTACCATGCAAGCTAATCAGGATAAATGTTTATCACTCCGAATGAAATCTCCTCGCAAAAGAAATTAGAACTAATGCTCAACAAAAATTGGACATCACATAACTTCCACATAAATTTTGCACAAGCAAATTATGATGAATAAAGTGTTGCACACCACCCCAGTCTTCAAGTGATGTGATATTCCAGGGGTTTCAATTACTTATCCAGGGTTTGGTTTCCTCAGGATGAGGGACAGCAGAGATTGTGGGGTTTTTTATGAGATGTGGTTTATTTACCCATATATTCCACCTTAGGCTACGATGGCGAGGTTTACAGCATTAACAGCCCAAGAGAGTACTGCTTCTCTCAAGGCCACAGACTGGGATTTCACGAGAGATCAGGCCTGGCTCTGTTTCCTTTCTGCCCAGCCTGCAGCCTCCTGCTTCTAGCTCAGCTCTGATCTTTGTCTTTCTAACTAACAGACAGTTGAGGGAAGACGGGGCACTCATTTTTCTTCTGGCACAAAGCCACTTTCTTTGTTCCCTTAACCACCCATAGTTTGGGGGCCATTACCAAGAAACTTGTCTGGTTATCCCAGCACTTGTTGGATCCAGGAATTAGAAGGGATTCAGGTATACAGCCTGCCTCCTCGCAAACTCACAACAATGTATTTTGGAGAGTGGTTTGTAGATCTGTCTGCCCATCTATTCTCTGTGAATTCAGACACCTCTCGAGATATTGTTGCAAAACTCAGCATGAGAGGGGAAGCAGTTTTTGTCAACATTTGGATGCCAGCCACCATTTTAAATAAATTTTTTGAATAAAATTGGTGGACTGAAAGATTACTTTGGCATGACTTTGCCCATCTTTCTGGCAAAGGTTCAGCCACCTCTCAAGGTACCATCACCAATCTCAGTATCACTCTCTCAAGGTTAAATTAATCTTAGCTTGCAGTTTTTACCAACGCACTATGCTGGAGACTGACTGGCTCTCCTTTACCTTCACTTTAAAAAAGCATGTTGAGCAGCCATTGCGTAGAGGAGACTTAAACATAAGCATATAAGTTACCACTAAAAATGAAACATGTACACAAACTCTGAATTGTACTGTAGAATTGCATTAGTTGTTAAAATGCAGGAGAAAGTACCAGAATTAGTCATTTTGTACGGGAGGTCCAGCTATAACCAAGGTGTAAGAAAACACTCTAACGGTTAGTCTAACCTATGACAGATCTCCTTTGAGACTCCAGTGTCATCCACAAGTGGAAGGATTACAGGAAACTTTTAAATGGTGCTTTATTTTCCTTCCTGGGGAGCCAAGGGACTCCTGAGTACTTTACTAAGGTCATTTGCTATTTTCTGCTATAATGTTACCAGCCCTGGCTTTTTTCTTTTCTTTTTGCATTGCCTCAGTTAAAGCCTTTTTAGCTTAAATCTTCCTTAGTATTCTAACTAACCTGGTTATAACTAACAATGGTTTTTTTTCGTCCTGAGGGTATTTATATTGCTTTGGCATTTTGAAAGTTGCCAGAATGATGCTGGCTTATGATTCAGGCATAGAATGAAGTACTTTTGCAAGTTTAGATAGCCTATGGAAATCCACATAGGGATGCTTCTGAAAATCTCCTGATCCAGTTGTTTGCCCAGTTTTTGGACCTCCAAATTTACCTAGGCAATAATTTAGGTAGAGGGATGTACCCTGACTCACTTGTTTTCATCTGCATATCAGAAGGGTCTTCTGTCTTGTTTCCAACATAATCCCAATCCATTAAGAATCCATCACCTGAATTATGAATCTGAATAGTGTGCAGAAATCTCTGTGCACACAGCTTGCTACCATTTCCTTCAGCTCATTTCCTTTAGCTCATTTCTATTTGCATACCCATCTCATAAACATTGTACATGTATATATTGCTAAATATTCCAAATATAAAAACCACCACATACACAATATCATGTGATCACACATACCGCTGCCTCCAGCTTCTTTGCGTGCAGTGCTTTGCTGATGTATAGTTGTGTGAATCCTACAAAAAAAGGCTATAAATAGCTACTAGTTATGATAGCTATATTGTCTCCAGTATGCCTCTGAATACCGGTCACTGGAGATCGTGAGCAGGAGAAGGCAACTGAACACATATCCTGCTTATGGGAGACCAACGGGCATCTTGTGATGTAGGCCATTGTGAAATCCTAACACTGCACTAGGTAGACTGCACTTGTGTTCTTATTTTACTAGATTCCAGTAAAAACAGTGTGCAAAAAATATATATTAGGAGCATAGAATTGTAGAGTTGGAAGGGCAGTTGGACAGGACCCTCAGGGTCACTGAGTCCAACCCCCTTGCAATGCAGGAATCTCAACTAAAGCCTCCATGTCAGGTGGCTATGCCTCCTTAAAAGCCTCCAATGACTTCTGAGGGAGTCCGTTCCATTGTCAAACAGCTCTTACTGTCAGAAAGTTCTTCACACAATCACATTGATATGGGGGGTGGGGAAAGGTTGCTGTGTTTTATCAATGCACACATGAACATTGGTAACGTTTGAGGGCAGTGTGTGTGCAAATATGCCAAAGAAAATGAATCCTGCAAGAAACTGCATGTGTTCTAATTCCAGACCAGATTTGCCTAGCAAGAATTCATGATGAGTGAGACTTGAAGCAGTGTGTGCAATGTATGCATTATCAGCTAAATACCTGGCTTGTGGCCTCTTTATGAGGAAGAGTTATGACCCAGGAGGCCAGCTCCCAGAGAGCTGACTCAGAGGTGTGGCGTGGCTGGAAGAGTTAGTTACTATTCTGTGCTGGCCCCCAAGCCTCATCAAGAATAAAATTTAATTTCTCATTAACTCAGGTCATAGCGAGTTCATACATAAGCAGCAGAAGACAAGACCAAGTGGATCTACTGAAAAATAATGGAACAAGTAAAATCCTCTCGCCTGTACTTAATACTAGAATGTAGCAGGTTCACCCAGTAAATTGTTTGGGAGTAGATTCAGAATGGACCAAATGCAGCATTTCTTCCCACAACACACATACTTAATGTCTGGGATTCCTAGCTACAAGATGTGTTGATGGCTACTAGTTTACATAGTTTTAAAAGGGGATTAACGTATTCATGGAGGCTAGGTGTATCATCAATGGCTGATAAGGATACTTACAGGGAAGGAGCCGCCATGTTATGTGTTCATTTTGTACATTTCTGTCTCTTGCATTTTTCCCTATCTTGGGATTCAAGGCAGCATCCATAGGGTTCCCAGGCAATCTCCCATCTGGATACTGACCAGGCCCAGTTCTGCTTAGCTTCAGCAAGGTGGCTGCTTCATGTGTGAACAGCAGTTACTGGGGAGCAACAGCTGGGAAGAGCTATTGTCTTCAGACCCTGCTTGTGAGTTTCCAGAAGCATCTGTCTGGTCAGTGTGGGAAACAGGATGCTAGACTTTAGGCCTTTGCGCTGAACCAGCAGGTCTCTTGTGTTCTTATGCGCCTCCTGCGAATGTACTTGGTAGCAATCCGGCCAGGCCCCAAGTAGAAGTCCTCAACTGATTTAAGGGGAGGCATTCTGCCTTAGCTGGTGACAGAACCCGGGTTTGAAATTTGTAGTTCTATGTCTCTAAGAAGCTGGAATCATCTTTCAGAACTATATCCAAGTCTAATTGCTAGGAAGGAAACCCAACAAATGATTTCTTATCAACAGGTTTCATCATGCTCGTAAACCACAAAAATGTAAAGGATTAGCCAACGTAGAAACAGCATGTAAAGAGAGATTCGGAATCAAAACACTTTTAATCTTTGGGTTATAAGTTGTTGTGAAACACTGGAGTCGCCCCCCTGCCCCAAACACACTCTAAGGCTTTTCTGAATATTTCGAAGAAGGAATTGCAACATTTAGTGTGGTAAAACATTTTATAAATATTTCATAGAATTGTGGAGTTGGAAGGGACCACAAGGGCCACTTAACCCCCTGCAATGCAGGCATCTTTTGCCCAACATGGGGTTCAAACCCAGGACCCTGAGATTAAGAGTCTCATGCTCTACCGACGGAGCTATACTGATGCATTTCTCGTCACTAAGGCCAGATTCAGCATTACGCTTAAGAAACTTGCAGCCTCTGCTGTGCTCTGATTACATCACTGTGACTCTGTGTGGAAAGCATGTCAAACCTTTTATCTGTACTGGGCATTTTTAAGATTGCCTACAGCTCAGTGTGGCTATTCTTTCACGTGATATAAGGCCATATTCTTTGTTGTGGAGAAACCTTGTTGTGGCCCAACTGTAAAACCAGATGTATTATATGGTATGTAATATTGTAATCAATTTCAGATGTGACATTAGCAAGATTGCAGTAGTGTGCAATCAGGCTATGGAATCACTAATAAATGCAGTTCTGAACTGGACCTGCCGACTCACTGAATCTATGGCTGCTTGGATATTTTAGTGCTGGCAAAATGCTGGCATTCTCACTGCAATTTTAAAACTTTAGCTTATATCAGTGACACTTCTACCACATTTGGATTCAAGTCATGTGCACATTGAACTGGACATTTTAAAGCCTATGTACACGTGTACCTTTTTTTAAACACACACATACACACACCCCTACCAATCATAGAGTTAAAAAACACTGTATTATTATTTTATTTTAAAAGGTCAATCAAGATGAATAAACTGAATATTAGCAATTTGTCCAGGCAGACTCTTTCAGAATATTGACCAGTAATGAATCTGGGTTGTTGTGAAATAATGCTAAATTCATGTTTTGATACAGCTCAAGACATTCCATATTTCCTGCTCTTGAATTTTCAATGCTACATCCTCCTCCATTACATGCTACTGGTACTTAAAAGGATTTAGGGCATGGGCCCCCAGTGATAGAAACCTCTGTTGTTAACTTTTACTTCGAATCCAGACTCTTGCAAGCCTTTATCTCAGCTTAGACAGCCATGCATGAAAGTATCCAGGAACTCCATTGTGTCTTAACCCTGCACTGTCCACTAGAGTTCTGGGTAAGAAACTTTTATTTTGTGTGCCATCACTTCAGTCTGCTCATGTTCAATGACATGAGCGACTGTCTACCTGATATTTTGGTCCTCCTCAAACTGAGGGAGGCTCCTCGTACAAGTTTCTGGTATCAATCACTTGGATCATAAATCTTGACTGTGGAAAATGGCCATTTAGAGGTCCACCTGCACAAACAACAATCAGGCACGTAAAATAAGAAAGACCATAAATCTCAGACCTGATGATTAGTAATTTAAAGGGGGGCGGCTGGAAGAAGGGATGGTCTAAAGTAACAATTCCTAATAATTAATTAAGCCCGAAATGCTGACAGTCTGTTTAGTTAAAAGTACAGTGAAAACACAAACAGACTGCATCACATGAAGCTAACACTTGTAGATGTGTTGACTCAGAAGAAAGACTCATTAAGTTTAATGGGACTTACTCTCAGGTAAGCCTGCCTAGGGTTGGAGCCTAAGGAAAGCGTGGAGGGTGTTAGCCAGTGCATGGAGTGTGTTAGCTTGCAGTGAAATGGCAAGGGGTTCAATTTCACTCTTTGGTGTTTTCCATGGCTGAATGAAGCACATGCAGATACAGAGGTAAGATAGTTTTGTTGCTCATTATTAAGGAGGAGGATCAATTTCACACAACAACCTTTAGCACACTTTTAAATGCTGAGGTCTCCATTGAACTGGGTCTCCTGAAGCAGCCAAAGTATAGCTGGCTCCTCTGTTGGTATGCTCACCAAACCTCAGAAACAACACCGGATCTAGTTTATATGAAGTGTGATGAAGACCATCACCTATTGGGAGTTCTTTGGGCACTCTCTATTATCACTTAATCATTATCATATATTTATTGGGGGGGGGGATTAATTCTTTGAATCCAGTTCCAAATTTTACAGTTGGCAAGATTCAAATACAGCATGTGATAAGGTTCAGTCCCTGGATCCAATCTTGTGACCAGAAAAGGGTAAGCTGAGGGCCAAATAACATCCAAGAACTTCAGCATCTGCAGATACAGGACACAGATGCACAGGGACAGCAGATCCAGCCTCCTCAACTAGATCATACATGACAGATGGCCAGCCAACCTCAGCTTAAAAACTTCCAGTGAAGGAGAGTTCACAGCCTCCCAAGAGAGTCTGATCCACTGTCAAGCAGTTTTCACAATCAGAAAGTTCTTCCTGATCTTAAGCCAGAATCTCCCTTTTGTAACTTGAAGCCATTGGTTCAGATCCTAACCTCTGCAGCAGGAGAAAACAATCTTTTTCCATCTTATGTTACCACCACATTTGAAGATGTCTCTCATATCTCCTGTCAGTCTCCTCTTTATCAGATTAGACATACCAAACCCCCTCAACCATTCCTCATCAAGCTTGGTTTCCAGACCCTTGATCATCTTCTTTGCACACATTCCAGCTTGTCAACATCCTTCTTAAATTGTATTGCCCAGAACTGGACACAGGACTCCAGGTGTGGTCTGACCAAGGCAGAATAGAGTGGAACCATTACCTCCCTTGATCAGGACACTATACTTCTGTCCCATCAGCCCCAGCCAGTATGGCCAGTGGTCAGGAATGATGGGAGCTGTAATCCAGCAACATCTGCAAGGCCACAGATTCTGCATTCCTGTCCTGTGGAGATCCCTTTGTATGGGAGTGCATGCTGCACTCACAGTGAACTGGATTGAGCCCTATTTGTTTATTCAAATGCCATCCCCCAGGAAGTGGATCTTATACACATCTTTTCCAGGCATATAAAAGAGCCAGATAAATATAACCATAAATCCAGTATATAGATATTGGAAGAAGGAAGTCGTTACTTGACATGACATTTTGGTTTAAAGGCAACTCGTTATGCAATCTTTTAAACGTACAGTAGGTAATCATCTGTTTAGGCTTTTATTTTACTTTTTATTTTAGGATAGGAGAGGGAAGGTTTCTTTGTGTGTTTAAAAAATGTAGCATCAAAGAAAATATTTTTAAAACACTTCATTCTACATTTACGTCAGCAGTACACAGGGGAAGAGCTCTAGATTTCCAGCAAAACATTGATGAATTACATCTCACACCACAGCTGTGAATAAGTGAAACTCTAGTATCTATCATTCCCATTTCACAGATGGAGAAACTCAAACCCTGAGAGGTTAAACTGACTTGCCAAAGGTCGTGCAGGAAGTCCATAGCAGAGCTGAACAATATCCAGATCCCTTGGCTCCAAACTGTAGGTCTTAATCACGACTCAAGCCAGCTTCTGGGTTTCAAACTCCTCTTCCCTGCAAATTTACTTGTGAACAAAAAAAGTGGCACCCTCCAATAACCAGACACACAAGACTGACCCTCTGCGTGTTGACCCAAAATCCCAGGTATGGAGTCTCAGACTGAAGCCACAATTTTCCTTCAGACAATAGCCATGATTTCCAACACATGGAAATGGTTCCCATGATGGAACTATTCCAAAGTAAATGAGTTGCACCCTTTTCTAAGGCGTACTAACTTTAGAACTGACTTCACGGACAGAGGTGAGAGTAGGCAGGGTCAGTTGAAAAATAACAATAAACCCTGAAAATGCTAGAATACCAGTGTAACATTTCAGCATCATTTGTTATTGCGGGGACTACAACTTCCATCATTCTCTATCCTTGGCCATGCTGGCTGGAGCTGATGGGGACTGCAGTTCACCAACCTCTGGAGGACACCAAGTTAGCTACCCCTGCACTTCTGAGTATATTATTATTATTATTATTATTATTATTATTACAACAACAACTGAATACAGGTTGTAGACCAACAGAAACTAGGGCAGACATGAATTTAAGTCTACACCATCTTTAGGGCAAATGGCTGGTGCTTTAATGGGTTGTGCTGCTGTACCTATCTTTGGCCTGGAAGAAGAAGAAGCTGGTGTAATCAGCAGGGCAAATGATGTGCAAGGTCCACACCATCAGTTTCTGCTCCACTGAGACAAGGTCCTCTCTCTGCTTCCCTCACAAGCCTCCTTGCTCCACGGGTCCATGGGTCGTTGTAATGACAGAAAACTGCTTGAATGCTCAAGAGCAAAATATTACAGTTTCTCTCAGTGCGCTGATAGAAAGAGAGAGAGAAAGCTTGGCATTGGATCCATTCGGCAAAAAAAGAGTCGTGATATTTGAAATAGGAGACCTCCATTCAGTTCTGAAAGCAACAAGGCCTGTTCTTAGAAAGGCTCACCTCTAGGGAGGCATCCAAGGAGCTAGACTGGGTGACAAAGGAGAGAGAGACAAAATCCAAGGGAAGTGAAGAAGGTGGCAGCCCTGCTAAGAAGTTCTCCTGTCCCTGATCTACTTCGGGAGTCCCTCTTGCTTCACCCAGGAACGAGGGTGGGGAGAGACTGGCGCGAGCGAGCAGGCAGGGGCCGTGGCCAGCCCCGGGGAAGCCCCTCCCCTGGGCCGGCCGGCTCCCCATCCATCCCCCCAGGATAAATGACTCCGGTGTCCGCCTCGTCGAACTCCTCGCAGCCTTCCCTCTCACCGTCCGAAGGCGGGCGAGGGAGGGAGGTCCAGGAGGGGATCCGAGGCGCGGCGGGCTCACCCGCCTGCGACTGCCCGCTCCTTCCAGGTGGCATCTGCCGGCCCCCACCATGTCCACGGGCTCCCTGAGCGATGCAGAAGACCTTCCCGAGGGGGAGATGCTGGAATGCGACGGCAGCCTGAAGATGGGCAGCTGCTCCCCGACGCCGCGGCCGCTGCCGGCGCCTCCGGCTCCCCACCGCTGCCACGAGAGCAACGACGAGGGCTCCGGGGGAGGCGGCGGCGATCGGGTCTCCCCTGCCAAGGGCCGAGGCGGCGCCCCCTCGTCGGGCAAGCGGAAGAAGGCGCCGGGCAAGAAGAGCCCGATGGGCGGCGTGGGCGTGCTGGGCCCCGAGGGCAAGCAGGTCCAGCGGAACGCGGCCAACGCCCGCGAGCGCGCCCGCATGCGGGTGCTGAGCAAAGCCTTCTCCCGCCTCAAGACCACCTTGCCCTGGGTGCCGCCCGACACCAAGCTCTCCAAGCTGGACACGCTGCGCCTGGCCTCCAGCTACATCGCGCACCTCCGGCAGATCCTGGCCAGCGACAAGTACGAGAACGGCTACATCCACCCCGTCAACCTGGTAAGCGGACTGGAAGGGAGGCAGGCAGGCGGGCAGGGAGGCAGCGCCCGAGACCAGCTCCGAGTCCTGACAGGCCCCTTCGTGCAAAGCAGCCCATACCTCCAGCTCTGCCCTCCTCCCCTTTCCCACCACCTCCGCTTGGGAGGGAGGGAGGGAGGGAGGGGGGTCACGTCGGTTGCTGCAGGCTTACAGGCAGCTCGGGGTAGCTGAGGTTTCTTTCTAGACGCAGAAACTTTACCATCCCCGGCCCTCCCCGTCTGTCGCTTTTTAAGTAACAACGGTACGTTATCATCCTTGCTTGGAAACGTGGTCCATCGGCCCCGATCATTCCGCTGAGTGGAAGCTCTGGTCTTCTGCCCCCCGCCCCAAGTGTTGCCCCGACGGCACGAAAGCCTCTTTTTTCAAAGCACACACCACCACGGACGTGTTTGACCTAAAGGCGACCCCGATTCCGTGGGAGGAAACGGGAGAGCAGCCCCCGCCCCACTTGGCACAAACCGGGCAGGAGCTGTGGGGCGCCCCAAAGATCCCTCGACGCGCTTGCTCTCGAGGGGTTCTGAGAGTAACACCCCGCCTAGCAGACCTCGCTTGGCTGCTCTGCTGCTTTATTTATTCGGAGGAGCTGTCATTCCCTGAGCTCAGTTCTCTGTACCTAAGTTTTTGTTGCTGTTGTCATTTATTAAATTTGTATACCGCCCTTCATCTGAAAATCCCAGAATTTCCTGTTCACAACAGGAAAAATACAAAAAGAGAACACAAAACACATAACTAAAAAACCAAGGAACCCCAACCACCCTTGGTGTTGCTGCTTAAAAAATTCGTCGAATACGGCCTGGAACGGTTGGGCTGGGAATTTCCTCCCTTCCTCGTAATTCCAGCCGAGCTGGATCACCCCGGGGTAAGTGCGGGGAGGGGAGAGGGATGCTACTTCGCATTAAGTCCTCTCCAGTCGCCTTTGGCGACTAGACCCCGGGTGGCAGCCTGCTTCAGACACAGCGAGGCTCTTTCAGAGCCAGTCCTTTCTCACCTCCCTCTCGTTCAGGATTGAAGTTGGGGGCTTGGGTGGGCGCCACAGAATTAGGTTAGGCACTTGGGCCACCCGCTTCGTTTTATTCAAACGGCGAGATGCGCTTCTCTCGCCGAGGACACTAACTGAACTGCGAGAGACGCCCGATTAATTCACTGAAGGGCGTCGAACGTCGGAATGCGCGACCTCCCTTGTCTATTTCCAACCCTACGTCGTAACTTTTATTATTGGAAGTTCAAGATGAAACAACAACAAACGAATTTTAAAGGTCAGCGTGCAGCTGCCCCATTATTTTCATGTTCTGTCGTCAGGAGTCTCTGTCAGTTCCAGTTGTCCGGGGGTCGCGGGCTATGACACACCTTCACATTTCTGACCACTGGGTCCAGTAAGGGGAGGGGGAGTAGGAATAGGGCGGCTTTGAATGTTTGGGAACCGTCTGCATCCCACCTCCAGATAACTAAGAGGACAGGGGGAGTTCTAAATGGGGCAACCATAAGGCATAAAAATATATTTAAAACCCCGTTCCACGGGTGGGTGGGCAACCAGTTATGTCCCCAGGAATTGAAATATTTAGCATCTCTTACAGCGCAATCCAATACCTGTCTAGTGGTTACTCAAATGTAAATCCCATTTAGTTCCATGGGGCTTAGTCCCAGGTAGGGAGGGACAGGGCAGCAAACTCAATAGTTTGCTGCAGCGACTAAAATGGTTTATATTTTTAAAACACAAAAGCAAATCCTTACAGCTCAGTGGAACAAACTCCATCCCCCAGGTTTTAAACGTCCAAGACTTTTTATATTAAATGAATGAGTGCCATGGAAAAAATCGCATTCCTTTCTCTGTTTTCCATAAAAATTGTCGTTCTGGAAAATTAAAAAAGGAGTCATTTTTTATATAATCAAAAACGATTACAAAAACAGCAACAGCAATTAAATATGTTAATATTAACAGAATCTTTTTGAATTAAAATGTATTCGTTATTGACAAAAATTAACATAATATTAGTGTCCATACTTATATGAGTATAATTATTTTAGCAAAAAGATGCCCCATTAATCAATAAGCAACGAAGCACAAAAAATGTTTCCAAAATAAGATAAGATTTTTGTTATATAATATGTCCGAACTATGTTAATTTGGTTATTGTTATTGTATTATTGTTTAATTTTATTCTAAACCATAAGATGGTAGTGCAGCGATTGCTGTAACAAGCATAAAAAGCTGGGCAGATTTTAAAATTATAAGTATTTGACATTTTTTTAAAAATAAAAAACAACCTCAAGTAATTGTAACGCTTTATGTTTGGAAAGAAATGCAGCGGATATAATGGGCTTTCGCAGTTTTAAAATTTACACACCCACTGCGTTCAACTGAAGGGCTTTTCACCTCAAAGGAACTTTTTGGAAACCAAAAGCCAAGTATATCGTGGAAGAGAAACGAAATGGCCAATTCTGAAACGCTTTTAGAACCAGATAGCGCTGTTATCATTTTCAAAACAAAGCAGCAGCCGTGCCTTGACGTTACCCAGTAGAGAATGGACAGGTTTTAAATCTGTCTACCACAATCTGCCTGTGTGAGCCGTGTCAATTAATATGCTTTAGGGAAACATTATCATTTCTAATCGAACGTGGCACATTTTGCTATCGAGGATAACTAAAGCGTGACCCGTCACCCAGAGGATTACAGAGAGCTATGGGGAGAGGGGGAGAGGGCGCACCCGCGCGCGCAAAGAGAGAGAGAGAGAGAGAGAGAGATGCTTTTATGGACCAAGTGTTTTGTGTTTGCGCTGTGATTCCAGACAATACGGCGGAGCCATCTTAAAGACCTGGTTACGCTCAGTAGCTGAAACTGTCTAGTCTAACCACTTCTTCTCATTGTTTAGAAAGAACACCTGGGTAGTCTATGAAATTCTGACAGTTGGCTTTGCTTTATCGCCGTCCAAGTGCTACACCATTTAAAGCACACTGATCTCTCTCTCTCTCTCTCTCTCTCTCTCTCTCTCTCTCTCTCTCTCCCCCCTCTCTCTCTCTCTCTCTCTCATCTCTCCTTTCCCTCTTATTCTGGTTTTCCTGTTTCTCTCTCTCCACCCCCCCTTTATGGCTCCAGACTTGGCCCTTTATGGTTGCTGGCAAACCGGAGAACGAGCTGAAAGAAACAGGGAGCACCACTCGGTTGTGTGGCCCTACAGCATCCTGACCCAAGATGTCCAAGCCTGGGAACAGCAACCTTGTTTGCATGCAGGAGGTTCTGCCTGTGCATGCAAGTATGTGGGCTTACTCGTGTGCAGGACTGGCGGTAGTGAGAAAGGAAGGAGCCGACCAGATCGCTTCCCCGTGAGGAATAAAAACACACACTAAATCTGAAGTGGAGACCAAATGCACCATGCCAAAGGAAGAAGGGGAAAAAACCCACAGTGCACGTATTTAACTTTATTAACTTGTATATATTTGACTATCCTGCAGCAACGCCTTGCTGGTTCAAGGGCTGTTTTCTGGATTCCTCCTCCTAGACTTTGCCACTGTCTGTTTTTGTGTGCTCCCCCCCTTTCTTGTGAAAGACTGCGATTCCTAGAATCAATTATTTCGATAGTCACATCTCTCTCAAAGAATTCACATTAAAGATATTCTATGGATATATTTTCTTCAAACAGGCTTTGCTATATTTTGTTTCAATTAAAAAAGGGGGGAAAACCACTGGTCCTTAGCAGGAAAGGAAAATAGCACATATAGTGGCTTGGGTTTCTTTTAAAAGATACAGAATTTAAAAAAAAGAAATTGCTGAACAGGACCATATTATCAGTTCATCCGCAAACCTTTAAATGGCGTGATGCATCACAAAGCAAAATTGTTTGACCCTAGATTGCAAAATGTTTATTTTTATAATTAAGAAGAGCTAGACTGTGTCCTTGCGGGGTGGGTGGTTTGGAGGGCTAGAAAAACAGAGCACAGGGGCTGCCAAACTTGTAGAAAGCACACACACACACACACACACACACACACACACCTCCAAAGTGTAATGAGAGTTTTGATTGGGAAGTGGATGCATTGTGACATTAGTTGTGGAATCAGATGTTTTGTATGTTAGCTCAATCCAGAAACTGATCAAGGTGGAGGAACTAGATTCTGAAACATTTTCACTATTAACAACTTTAACAGACTCCTGTGCATAAGTAAGTAAATTCAATGGGTAAATATATATAAGATTATAGCCTAAGACTAGGATTTATCATTTGCAAACATGGTTAATATGGCAATGGATGTGGGAAACACAGTTTTAAATTGCCCGTGTACTGAAGACACTATAGGGAGCACTTTTTACTGAAGATGCAAACTATGTCTTTTAGTATAGAGTGTGTCCCTTTTGAATGTTGCCAATGCAAAGATTGAAAGTGGAAGAGAACTGCTTGGAAGTAGGTACCATTTATTTCAATGGAGTTGTCTGTAAGGAAGGTGCTTGCAGGATTAAAAAAGTTGTTTCCTATTGGGAAATATGTTCTATGGTTTCAAAGGGATTTGATGCCCAATGTGTGTCTAGAATTAGGTTGCTGGCTTTGTTTGCTTTCAGTGGGATTGCTCTTAAGCCATTTTGTTTGAAAATGTGCTCCACATTCAATGACACATACACATAATGTGTTTAGGATCTGGGTGCAACGTGGAGAAAAGTTATGAGTTTACATTTTAACATCCTCGGTCAGGTGTGGACCTTCCTTTATGTAGAATAGGTTACTTTTTGGAAAACCAAATTATAGAGGGTATCAAATTAAGCTGACGCGGGTGGCACTGTGGGTTAAACCACAGAGCCTAGGACTTGCCGATCAGAAGGTCGGCGGTTCTGATCCCCGCGACAGGGTGAGCTCCCGTTGTTCAGTCCCTGCTCCTGCCCACCCAGCAGTTTGAAAGCACGTCAAAGTGCAAGTAGATAAATAGGTACCACTCCAGCGGGAAGGTAAACAGCGTTTCCGTGTGCTGCTCTGGTTCGCCAGAAGCAGCTTAGTCATGCTGGCCACATGACCCAGAAGCTGTACACTGGCTCCTTTGGCCAATAAAGCGAGATGAGCGCCGCAACCCCAGAGTCAGTCACAACTGGACCTAATGGTCAGGGGGCCCTTTACCTTTACCTTTATCACTAAATATTCTATGAAGGATCCTCCAACCATCCAGAAACAATGGGGGGCAGTGAGACTCCAGGGGGTGCAGTCAATAGAGCCAGTTTCTGCTTCTCAGCCTAACTTACTTCACAAGGTTGTTGTGAGGACTAAATGAGGGAGAACCATGTACTCCAACTCAAGAGAAAAAGGTAGAATAAAAATGCAAAACCCCCCCACAAAACCCTTAATCTCCCCACTCCCAAACCTTGAATCCCCCAAGTTCAAGCTTCAGCACCTTGAGGAAGTGTTGTAGGACCAACCTGGGTGAGATGTTCTTTAAAGCTCAGGAAAGAAATGGAATTTTAATAAATCTGATGAAAACTTGCTGGGATGCATGTTTGCTTTCTCTGTTATCCACCTGATGTGGATCGAGTTGAATGGGTCGTGCATCTACATGAACACTTATATTTCCTGGCAAGCACTAACACAGTCCTGGCTGGCTGCCACTCTTCATCCTTCTTATTCCAATCCTGGGCTCACTGAAGTTGGTACAGAGCGTCCCATATGCTTGCTTTCTATCAGAGGTGTGTCTCATTTTGTTGTCTGCCAGACAAATGACCAGAATTAACTAACAGACATTGCATCACAGTTTGGTGGCAAAGGTATTGTCAGAATTTTCTAAAATCAGGCTGTCCCCCAAATACACATACCAAATCTGTGCCTTCTATGCATTGCAGGAGGTACTTAAACAATGTTGTTCAGTGCATGATGATTGAATCACTGAAGCCTTGTTATATGCACAGACATACACTGATGATTCAGTGATAATCTCAGTATAAAATATTAGCGATGCTTAATTTCTTAAGAGGTTTGCTGGCTCGGATCTCTTTCAACTTCGTGTAACTTGACATCCTCCATTCCTAATCCATTGAAGAAAAAATGTAATTGCTCTCAAGTGAACACATAGCATTCTGTAGTACAGTGGTTCCCAAAATCCTTTGCCACTGAGCCACTTGGAAATTGCTGGGAGTCCTAATGCTTTTCCTTAATGCTTTTCCTTCTGTTCGTTTTAGCAATTGCAATGAGTGGTGCTGGTTGCCGTATGCTTTTCAATTATAGTTTTACTTTCATTTTTTATATTTCATTTCACTGTATTACAACCCGAATTCTATGGAATTCAAATTGTAATACATTAAAATGCAATAGAAGAAAAGAAGCAGTAAAAATACGATTAAAAACCAATACAAAATATTTAATACGGACACTCCACGGACCATATCAGTCTTGCTGGTGGACTGCTGGAAATACACAAACCACAGTTTGGATGCCTCTGCTGTGGTATATTCTCAAATGAATTCTCATCTTTGTTTTACTTCATATCACCCTTGACTATCTAAACAGGTTTGGTGCTAATCCCTTTGTGATGTGGCTTGAAGGAAACATTGCCCATGAGTGGTAAAAGCCTGATACAAAGATACCACTGGGAAGCCCCTGGAGAGACATGATCACATTAGGAGGTGGTGGAGCCAGGGGCTGCACCTAAGGAGAATTAAGGAATACTGATGGAGTAGAGTGATTTGCATTTGGGGGAGGGGTATACCTTTGCTTGGCCCAGCTGTATGGTGCCTTCTGGCTTCTTAACTTAAACAACTTTCTTTCTATTGAATTGAATTGATTTGTTACTCGGTGGGAGATTAAGCCGAGAGATAAACAGAAAGTGCTGGTCTCTTTCCCCTGAACAAGCTCAGTCCAGAGGCAGCTGATGCGCCAGATCCCAGAGAGCTGTTTAATGTTTCAAGGTTATGACCGCACTGTTTACAAGATGTCTTCAGTTATTTATACTGTTTTTCCCAGCAGAGGGGCTTTAAATTTCCGCTTCACTTGCTCTTTCAATATATATATTTTTCTATATATTTCTGTTCTGTTCAATTCAATAGCCTAGAGATTTTATTGCCCTTCTCCTTTCGGGAAGAAAGGGAAATACGTCATAACATTATCACAGGGGGAAAGCATGATTTGGAAATGTACAAACACCCAGTAGAAAGTATGCAAGTAAACAAAAGGAGATTTGGTAGCATGGAGAGATGTCATTAAGAGCTGTTGCCCACTGGCTGCTTTTGACTACAGCTGCCATCAGCTCCAACCAGTGGACATAGGTCAAAATAACAGTCATGCAGTAGTTGCTTCCCAACTGACACTGTTTTCTAGATGTGATCCATATCTAGATCCATGAGAGATATGTTCATACACAAGCAAACTGAGGTTGCACAGTTGAAGGGGATTTGGTGCTCCCATGCAACAAACACACTTAAAAAAATGTGATAAGAAAAGTGCAAGAAAATGCACTGGAAAGTGGTGTGTAATGATGCTGTCAGTGCTGACCTTTAAAGCCCTAAACGGCCTCGGTCCTGTATATCTGTAGGAGCATCTCCACCCCCATCGTTCAGCCCGGACACTGAGATCCAGCTCCAAGGGCCTTCTGGTGGTTCCCTCATTGAGAGAAGTGAGGTTACAGGGAACCAGACAGAGGGCCTTCTCAGTAGTGGCGCCCGCCCTGTGGAACGCCCTCCCATCAGATGCGAAGGAAATAAGCAGCTATCTTCTCTTTAAAAGACATCTGAAGGCAGCCGTGTTCAGGGAACTTTTTAATATTTGATGCTGTGTTGTTTTTAACACTCGATTGGAAACCGCTCAGAGTGGCTGGGGAAACTCAGCCAGATGGGCAGGGTATAAATAAATTATTATTATTATTAATTATTATTATTATTATTATTATTATTATTATTTAGTAGCAATGTATGTAGTGGAGCAGAATTGTGGAGCTGCCCTGCCAACACCACCTTCACTGCTGCTTACCTGAATGGGGCTGGAGCAGGTAAGGTTGGGGCTGAGCGGCTGCACTGAAAGGACCACCATCGGCCAATCCGCTGTCCCATCATCCCCCCCCCCCACTGCCCTGACCTTGCCGTTATCCATCCAGGCAAGCAGTGTCGCTGTGAGGAGAGTGGCTCTGTCCACATCATCTCAGCACAAATGAGAATGAAAGCTTAGCAAACAGTGGCAGTGTACAACCTCCGCACAAACTTTGTGCCAACCAATCAAGAGGAGTGTGTAATTACATGGGTCCAAAGACTTTGCCTGTGGCAGAAGATTTTGTGAACAGAACCCATTTTTCAAGTGCATGAAATGATCTCATAAGTGGGTTGATTACACATAGAAGACTTTTAAAAAAACTAACCCCATGGCAATGGCTGTTTAAATGTTGTGTTTCAGTAAAAAGTGATGGAATGTTAAGAATGCTGACATTTGAGGGAACAAGGTACAGGGCCTGCCCAAGGCATTTTGCTGTCTGAGGCAGAGTAGCAACAGTGTCCCCCAGTGGGGAGATCAGAGTGTCTGATTAGGATGTGGGAGAGCAGGGTTCAAATTCCCACCTTGGCCATGAAGTTCAGTGGGTGACCTTAGGCCAGGCACTGCCTCTGTGCCTAACCCACCCCATAGGGATGTTGCTGGGATTAAATAAGGTGAGACAGAACCCGGCATGCCACCTGAGTTCCTTGGAGAGAAAGGTCTGATATAAATACAGGAAAGAACCAAAAACCCACCATCTAAGTCAAGGCGCACTGCACTAGAAGTCAAGGTATTTTGGTGCTTGAGGCAGAAAACCCCAAAATTCAGCAAGTATTGTATTTTTACTCCAATTTCTTTTTACTGGAGAAAAATCGGCTAAAAGACTAGGATTGTAGTGGTTAGAATTAACTGGAAACAAGTAATATTTACAGTGGAGGAGAAGCTTGCAGCCTTAATTAATTAACCTGGACATGCAGAAGGCACACTGACAATATATAAGGTAGAAATAGTTGACATTGTGAATGAAGCCAGCCCCCAATAGCAGAAGTATGAATAACACATTTCACTGATAGGTGTGATGAAATACCTAACTGCTTGCAGCCCTTGCATATGACTTGAAACTCAAATTCTTACCCTATACTACTTTAGATCTGGAGTAGTCAATGTGCTGCCCTGCGCATGTTGCTGGACGACAATGCTTCTCTTCCCTTGACCACATGTGCTGGGGTCCAATGACATCAGGAAAGTACCGAATGGCCTACCCCAACTTTAGATGGTGATACTTGTGGGTGATGGTGACTGGTCAAATGTTGGCATTGGGATTATTTGCATTTGTTGAATTTACATCCTGCCTTTCCTCCCAAAGGAGCCCAGGGTTTCAAACAGATCCGCAATTTTAAAAAGAGAAGCAAAGCAACAGCATTCCTAAGACAATTACAGTTCTAAAAACATTCTAAAAGCAGTCACAGTTAGAAAACATTCTTCCATCTAGCGATCTCGGGTTTGCCAGAAACAGTATTCTGGTTTTGGAGACCTGACCTTTACATTGGAAAAAAAGGAGAAACTGAGAGAAGCAAAATTGACTGATCCTTCCACCCCAGGGTAGCCACTTAGGCATTGCCAAAGAAAAAAGGAAATGCCTCAACACGAAAGAGCATACATATAAGTTTAATATGCTAAATTGTATGCATAGATGCAATTTTATAATGACAATTATTGAAACAGAAATTCATCTCCAGGTGCTGTTTCTGGGCATTGCTAAGACCCACCCACCTGCACATGCTCCCTTCTTGGAGTTCTTTACCTTTAAACCAGATGTGGACTGGAAACCCCTTCAAACAGAGAACTCCTTTGTTATGTACTGAGTTGAATAGGATCCAAAATGCAGCAGTCTGATTGGTCTGCAGGAGCCACCCAATCCATCTCCAGATGGAAGTGAATCCACAACCTGATTGGCCTACAGGAGAATTCCGGAATCAGCCAATCACGTGCAGCCCATTGTGTAAATAATGAGTATAAAGCAGATACTTTGGGGAAACTTTCATTCCTCCTCACCACTATGAGCTGAATAAAGAGCATGAAATCCACTCTAGACTCTGAGTATATTGCATCCTTCGAAGAGAGGGCTGTCCTCTGATAACCTGTCAAGCAGAGAACTGTCCCCTGTAAGAGGACACATGGCCACCCTGACAGCTGATGCATGCCATTCGTTTCATAAATGGGGAAGAGAGGAGGAGATAACTACCACTTTCTGTGGCGCCCACACTTTAGCTGTAGTTATGGTCATAACCCACAGCCTCAGTGTAAACAGTGCACTAGATCAATGGTGATGGGAAACACAAAAGTTGTAAATGAAGAATGCCAGAACCCCCTCTGGTTATTTGACGTATCTCCTGGAAATCACATAAACTGGGACAGCTCAAGCAGGTTAACCAGTCTTTCTTCTGGATTCTATAATCTTTCCTGGGAACTGTTTGTTGAACATCAGCTGAGTTTGCATCACAGCGTTCCTTTCTGATATACAGTGGTACCTCGGGTTACACACGTTTCAGGTTACAGACTCCGCTAACCCAGAAATAGTACCTCAGGTTAAGAACTTTGCTTCAGGATGAGAACAGAAATCACGTGGTGGCGGCTCAGGATGAGAACAGAAATCGCATGGCGGCAGCGGGAGGCCCCATTAGCTAAAGTGGTGCTTCAGGTTAAGAACAGTTTCAGGTTAAGAATGGACCTCCGGAACGAATTAAGTTCTTAACCCGAGGTACCACTGTAAACGTATTGTGGATTATTATGCTTCTTCTACTTTCTCCCTTTTCCACCCTCCTCCCTCCAGAGCCTTTTTTCTTATGTGTCATGTGTTTTAGACTGTAAGGCTGCAACCAGTGCCCTGGCTTTGGCAGCAGCAAGGCTTAACAAAGCAGTGGGGGGCACTGCCATATCCACAGCCCTGCTGCTCACACTGGCCAGAAAGTGGGGTGGGGTTGCTAATTAGATCCATATTTGCAGGAAGGCCAGCAGATCCCAGACTAGCTCTGCTCTTCCCCACCACTGGAGTTCCCCGATTCAGGTCCTTCTCCAAGCTGCAGCTGGCAGAGATCCCGCCAGTGGCACTTCCTCCCTCCTGCCCGTTTGGTGTGTGAAATGGAGACCTGTGTGCCAGCAGACATCTTCATCCAAACCAACACCACTCCCAAGCTTTGTGCAAAGGCGCTTTGGGCTGCAGTCCCCACCTGAGAGCAGAGACTATTTTATCACTCACATTTGTAAGGAGCCACTTCTTGGCTGAGAAGCAGAATAAAAATGCTTTTAATAAACAAATGAACTCTGAATCCACAAATGTAGGTCTGCATGCAGGAGACACAGTCTACTATGAAGAAGCATGATTGAACAATCCAAACAACTTCTTATAAAAAGCTATAATTTCAGGTTACAACTGGGTGCTTATTGAAGTGGAACTAATCAGAATATATTAACAGCCAACTTGGGGCTTTTAAAAGGTTAATTTGAGGAAATGCTCAAAGGAAAAATATTTTTTTTAAAAAAAAAAAAAACTTTGCACCAAGTTGTGGGTTGTGTAGCTCAACATGCCTTCATAACTACTTTAAAACAGACAACTATTTCCTCAACTGTTAGCAATGCTAAAGTGATTACCAACAACTACCATTCTGAAGGATCACTGTGCTTGTTTTTCCTACATTTAAGCTCTAACTGAATTGGCACAGACTGTGCTTTCTACATTTCGTTGCCATTTAACTCAGACCTCTACATTTCCTTCCTTATAACCATGTGTATGCATACTGCCAACTGAGGATTACACTTCATATATTTGAGGAACTGGACTCTAACCCAGGAAAGTTCATGCCGTAATAAATATATTAGCCTATAAGGTGCCACAAGATTCTTTGTTACTTTTGCTGAAAAAGACGGGAACACAGCAACCTTTCTGGAAATTATTTCCATCATTTTTTTTTATTCATGGGTCAGCAACTTCACTTCCATGTAACTTAATATTCTACTTTCAGATGCCACAGGGTGGCAGTCATGCTACATACAAAAATAAACAGATAGTATAAAATAGACTCTGGACTTTTCAACTTAACTTTTGCCCCGCTTTTTGCAGGTAGAGGTCTGAGCTTTAATCCCTCCCAGCTTTCCCTGCAAAATCGCACTCTTTCAAGCGGAATCAGAGCAAATCTCAACTTGGGATTTTTGCAGATTGATAAAGGGTGGGTTTTCACAGGGAAAGCTTTGAGGCAAACAAAAATAAGAGTGTTCAGACGCAGAGCTTTAATGTGCGGACCACGTGTGAAAAGAGCGGAGGAAAGTTAATTGTAAGCCCTCCATTGTTTACAAAAAGAAGACCTTGGCACAGACCTTGGCTTACACTTATCCTTGGCAGAAAGGAACTCTAAAAACTCTATTCAAGAGCTATAGCTCTCTTCTGCCCTTGCACACCTTCTTGTTAAGCCCTTCAGCCTTGCTTCTGCTAAGCCCACATCATGATAATTCTCTGTCAGCCCCCAAATCTTTGTTTGGGGCCTGCAAGTTCCTCATCCTTCCTTCCTCAACCCTTCTCTCATTTTGTAGCTGCCAAAGCAAAAACTCACATGCCCAAACTGGCAATTACCACCACCACCACTTTTTATTTGTATGCTGCCTTTCCAGTTAAAACAATGCTCAAGGCGGCTTACAAGATGAAAAGATTTTCATAATTATAAACATAACAAAGTAGTCATAAAAATAAAGCATATTAAAAACTACATAACCAAACTGAACAATTTCCACATAAAAATGAAGATACAAAAAGTTAGTATCAGTAATCTCAGTTAATATCAGTAACAAGAGCAAAAACTCCCAACAAAACTTCCCTCAAAATACCCTCATCCTTGCTGGTTAGCAGCCGCAGCCGCAGCCGCAGTTCTTATAGCCGGCCTGGGCCAGGTGGAGATTGGCTGAAACAGGGCCCTGAGGCAGGGAAGTCCTCCTCCCAGCCTCAACAGACTGAACTGGCCTCACTATTTATATCTATATGTACATTCCACAACAAAGCAGAAATAAACTCTGCACAAGTTGCTCCTTCGGCCAGGTGGCACAAGAGTCAGAGCAGTCCGACCGGCAGCTCCGTGCTGCGATCAGAAGGATGGTCTGCCCAGTTGTCAAGGGCTGCCTGGATTAGGAAGAGTGGTGGGAGCCGCCTGCCCAAGAGCCCCCCAGGGAGGACACAAAAGACTCAGATCCCAGATCCTGGTGGTGGTACACTAAACAGCAGTCTGCAGAATGGACCAGCTAGGAGGTGCCAGAAGCAGGGTCTGAGTGATGGGGGAGGACAGGAAGAGGGCCTTCCAGGACAGGGTTAGAGGCCGACAGTCATGGTGTGAGTGCAGATTCAGAGAGGAGTCAGAGGTTGGCCCTGCTACACAGCAGCAGGACAGCCACAGTCCTACTGGCTCTACTCCCCCCCCCCCCAATCGAATAGAGTCCTGTACAGGCCAGACAGGCACAGAGGAGCTCACCCCACTCAATGCAGCCTCCATTTGCATGGGAGGGATCCAGAGTGAAAGGCTGGGGAGGATAAGGGTGGAGCTAGCGGTCAGTTTCAGCAATGTCTCAACCAGATTAAGGCAAACCAGAGAACTCTGCTGTGCTGTTTTCTGTTAATAAAAAGCTAATTGCATTCCATGCCTCCCGTGTGTGCCTGCCCTGCAGTTGACCTGGCTCACTTTTCAGCAGTTCCCTCTGCCAGAATATCTTGGGCTACCTACAGAATCAAACTGCTAATGGAAGTCTCTGCCCCTCTCCCCGCAAAAGAGGGTTTTAGGATTGTCTGTAGTGTTCTAGGTCATCAGTGCCTACAGGATTCTGGCTTCCCCAGTTTGAGGAAACAGGCAGAAATGTAGCTTTCATAAAATTAATGGAACCAGAGCATCTTGGACTAATGCTGGGGTTGCCACCTTTGGTCAGGCAAAATAAGGGATGGGGCAGGGGAACTGGGGCACTAAAAATTGCCATACATGGTGCAGAAATGACTTCAAGGTCATTACAATGGCACACATGGTTTACAGTGCTTTATTCAATGGAGAAAAACAAAAGCATTAGATTTGTAATTGGTTTGACACAAACCAACATGAAGCAACTTAACATGGTGTTTAATATCTCTGTTTCTGTGGAAAGGGCCCCAGAAGTCCCTCTGTTTTGAGACAATAGTCTCTGTCTGTCTCGCTCCACTTCACCTTCCATGACCACTTTCTGCCACTCCTTGCTGCATTAAGCAGTGCTTTGTCCTTCAAAATAAGAGTGGAATTCGGCACATGGCAGCTCAAAGTTCAGAGAAATCAGGATCTCACTTTTTATCAGTTCCACAGAGCACCAGTTCTGAACATTACTCCATTTGTTCAACATCATGGAGGAAATCCACTCCACAGGGCAAACTGGGTAGATCACATGCTGTAAATATAGCCATCCACTTTGCAGCCACATCTTTGTTCTTTCACTGAGCATCCTTTAAAAGCTGCTCCAGAATGCAGTTGCCTGTTACGCTTTCATCATACAGCTTATCCATGTCCACTCTGGTAGTGAAGCTGAGATTTTCATTGACCTTTTCAACGTCTCTAGATAAACTTGCTATCCTGGAGGGAGAGGGGCTGGAGGTAGAAAAGCCAGTTGCAATTTGAAAAAGCAAACCATTTCTCAATGAAATGGCAGTCTCAATGAATAAAATGAATTCTCCCATTGCCCTGTTTGCATCAACTGGAGAAAGGCGCTGCAGCTTCACTTTGGTCAGGTCTCCAAAGAACTGGTCCTCATGTCTCTGTGCCAGTTTGGGTCTAAAGGAATACATAATGGCATACAGCTCTACGCAGGTGGTGTTATTGGCTTCAAGCTTCATAACAGTATCTACAAAGAGGGACAATATGTGATTGCAAAAAAGGAGATAAACCTCCACAACGTAACTGTCTTCCTCATCCTGCACTCCTGCATTTATGTCTAGCTTCAGCTAGTGAGGAGTAGTCTGGGAAAATCCACAACAAGCCTAATGAAGCAGGAGCAGAGACATGGTTCCACTGAAAGCCATGTTATGCACAATATGGGCCTTGCAGTACCAACAAAGGGTTGTTTCTTCTTCTGTTTTTCCTTCTTCAACACTGTGTAGACCAAATTGTGAATACTAAAGTTTCCATTCAGCATTCCCAGTTTTCTTAAAGTGTGGTGTATGCAATCCACGATCCCTTGGGATTCTCGATGAAATCAATCTTATTGTTCATGACTCCACTTTCAGGAGTGAAGAACTGCACTGTACGAGGGAATGTTTTTCTGTTTCCCTTGTTGGAGGCATCTGTTTGAATGGAGAAAAAGAGGGGACTTTCAGATTTCAACTTTTTCACCATATCTTCAACAACTTTTGGCTCAAGAACATCCCTTATTAAGGTCTCATATTTTGTTCTCCTATAGCTCGGTCCTGCAGTATCTTCTGGTTCAGTTCGTATGCACAATTAGCACTGTTATAGTTGAAGTTGTGTTTAACAGTGTGATACGTGTGCACCAACTCCGCAGCTGTAACCTGCATAAAAGGAGTCCTAGTAGTACACAAAATATGAACTCAGCTATTAAATAGAAAAAGATTGGTTGCTTTAATTCTTAGGAAATAAAAGCAATTTTGAAATATGCAGCAAGCTTTTGGATTGCAAAATCTGGTAGTTACGTATTTAGCCGCACTGTATTCTACGTTGACATATTTAGATGTATATTATTTAATTATAAAATTAGTATAGGTGAAGACTGTAATAACATCAAATAAAATGCCTCAAATAAGCAGGATCAATTTGCAGATAACTGTCTAGATCCTTGCTGACTGTATAATATGGCCAACATTAAGCTATAATATAGCCAATGTTACATTGGCAACACAAATAATTGAACCATATACCAGGTCTGCTTCGAGGGAGGTCTGAGGAATGAGAAAAGTAGCAATGGAAACCTGTGTATTTTGCTGTTTATTAGCTTGGATACACTCTGCCCCATACACTGACAGCCTCCTCTGCTTCTGGGGTTCTGCAGACATCCTGACTACACTTACGAACGGCAAAGGATCCTCTATGGAGAAAACAATGGAAATACTTGTTATGTTTCTCTTATTCAAAGAATTACAACAGTAACAATGCCCCCTCCTCTCCTACCCTGGGTCCTACCCCACAGGCCACAGCCTGCCTGCCTCTCATGCCCACCTGTGCTGTGCTGCCCTCCAGCTCCTTGCCAGCTTTTTCTTTTTTATTAAAGATTTTCTTGTTTTACAGAAGTAAGTGTAATGTCTCTCATATTTTTTCCATGTAACATTTTTACAAATCCATTTCATTTGTTGAGACATTAGGGGGAGAGGGAAAAAAAGGAGTGGAGGGAGGGAAGATGGGTGGGGGTGGGGTCGGGTGGCGATGTTTCTATTATGCTTAATGTATGTAGGGTTTGGTGTCAGCATTGCTTGTGCTGTTCACTTGTGTTCCTTTGGTGGTGAGAGAGGTTGGGGTTGGCCTAGGGCGTGGTTGTTTGTTTGTGATTGGCTGTGGTGATCTTTGTTTTCGTGTGAGTGGGGTAGGTGGGTGTTTTGGATCAGGTTAGCCATATTGATTTGTATGCTGTTGGTGGATTATTGTCATTGTCTTGTTGGGCTGTGTATGTGATAAAGGCGTCTTCTTCTGTTTGTCCCCGTGTCAGTTTCACTTTATTGGTTATTTTTTCTAGTAGGCAACTCCTTGCCAGCTGAGCTCTGGCTGGCCTGCTGCTGCTCCTTTGTTCTCTCAAGAGGATATTTTGAAGGTGACTTATTTCCTGAAATCCATGAGAAAGAAGTATGAGGAGGATGATGATGATGATGATGTAAAACAGGGTGTTTCAGTCTAAACTGGTGCAATCCAAGGTGTATCAGTCTAAACAACAAAGAGATAGGGAAGTCAGCTGAGAGAGGAGTCGTCACTCCATTCCAGGAATGCTCTCCAGGAACCACTGGGGAATAAAAGTTCTTACCTCTGTTTTACAGTAGAGGAGTTTCTGCAAAAGCTACCTTATACCAAGTCACACCACTGGTTCACCTAGCTCAGTACTGCCTACACTGACTGGCAGCAGCTGTCCAAGGTCTCTCCCAGCCCGAGATGCCAAGGACTGGACCTAGGACCATTTGCATGCAAGGAAGGTGTTCTGTATCTGAGCTATATGGCCCTTCCTTCTGCATTTGGGAGATTTAACAGAACAAGAAGAGCCCTGCTGGATCGGATGGGGGTGGGGAATCCATCTAGTTCTGCATCCTGTGCCCTGCCAGGTACAACAATAAAAGTCAACCTAGCTTGAACAAATGCTTGGTTATTGCCAAGCCACCACAATGTTCTTCTCACACACTTGACAAAAGAAATGTTTAAGCCTGGCTCCCAAGTAAGTGTGTACTGTGGAGAGTCCCAGTACATGAGACAGATGCTCCTATGCATGCAAAGTAGAACAGAACACATGCATCTGAACAAGCAGACTGTGCAGTGATGCCAATAGCCAAAATGAACAACAATCTAAATTTGATGCATATAATTATATGAAATTTAACTCATTGATAATATGCTTCAATGAAACCATTAATATTCCTGGAGAATTGATTAATGTTCTATGGAGTTTTGGGGGCACATTCAAAATTTAAGGAAGTGGTAGATTTAGTAAAAATATTAATTAAACTTGCATATGATTAACAATTTAATCTATTTGCAACTAATTTAAGAGTAATTAAAGTAATTTACTAGTGTCAAATTGCATTTGCTTCGTCACTGAGGGCCAGCTGCAATTCTATACATGAGGAAGGCTGGACTAACTAACTACTTTCCTATGAGTAAGCCACTTTAGTAGTAATAACTATTATTTATACCCCACCCATCCGGCTGGGTTTCCCCAGCCACTCTGGGCAGCTTAGAGCATATATAAAAAACCTAACAAAATATCAAACATTAAATAAGAATAATTTTAATTGCATTCAGTAGGGCTTACTTGTGAGTAGACATGAAGTTGCTTGCACCGCTTACCAACAAGCACGAAGCATCAACCCACCCACCCCGTCTCACCTCACAACTACCCAATCTCCCATTTCAGCATCAGGCTACCACTGTTAAATCTCCCCTGCCTTCATTTCCCCCTGCTGTGACAGAGAAGGGCCCTGCCCCAAAGGACCCATCAAAGAATGGGAGGGCATGCGAGCAAAAGCATCATTTAATTTTTTTTAATTAAAATTTTACATTTAAATAAAACATCACAATAGTCTTATTACTGGGAGGGACTCCACCGCAGCATAAAGCCCTGCGCCAGCCTCAGACAGGCAGCAAGAAGGCACCAGGGTGGCTCGCACACCTACCAAGAAGAACCTCGTGGAGCCTCACCTGCGGGCGCGCTCTGCCTTCCCTCCTTTTATCCCTGGAGCAGGGCGGGCGGACAACGCTCACTCCAGCTCCACAGCCAATCAGGCAGCGCCAGTGCGAATGGCAAGCTAAACAACCAACCGCTGCAGTTTCTCCATGCCGTGCAAACCCCTCGCTATTTTAAGCCTCGCGATTTAAGACGTGCAGCGCGTGGGGAGGAGGAGGAGCAGAACCAGCACCAGCCGCCTCCACCCCCCCCCCCCGCCTTGAACTCCCGCCGGAAGACAGATTCCGCGCCTCCGGGCTAGCCACGCCCTCCTTCCGCCGAAGAAATCCCACAGCCTTGCCTTTCGCCCCGCCCCCTCCTCGGCCCGGCGGTCGTTATCCGGAAGTACACCTCCCAGGGAGAACATCCGGCTGCCGCTCTAGGCGGCGGGGATGCGGGCTCTGTCTATGGTGTTCGCGCGCTTTGTGATGTTTTATTGTGTCGCGGGGATTCGGTGGCCTCGAGACCCGGAACAGCTAGAGAAAGAGGCGGCGGCGTCGTGTTGGAACGGCGGCGGCGACGGGTCGCGCAGCGACTGGGCTGCGCGGGAGCCTATAGGATTTCGGTGAGGAAGAGAAGGGGAGAGGGATCAGCGGCCGTTGCGCGGCAGTAACGGTCCTCGCGTCGCTAAGGCGTCCTCCGCCGGGCCGGGGGGGGAGAGGGGGAGGGGCAGATCCGAGGGGCTTCCCTGCTCCCGCCGCCCCTTCTTGCACCTGGGAAGGAACCGAGCACCGAAAAGAAGGCGGGATTCGTGTGTCCTAAAACTAAGCAAAATTGGGCAGCTGCTTTTCTACCCGGGGCGGGGGAATCTCCCTCCCTCCTCCGCCCGCCCCGCTTCCCCTGTCTTCCTTCTTCCCCGCGCATACCGCTGCATGTGAAGCGCAGCCCCCTCCTTCTCCGTAGGAAGGGAAGAAGCGCAGGAGGAGGCAGGAGAGCAGGTAACCCAGCATCCCTCCCCCACCCCCGTCCGCAGACTCTGGTTTGTCTCCTGGCAACCCTGGGTGACTCAGATTAGCCAGGAGCCTTTAGGAATAGGGACCTGCTCTGATCACTGCCAACAGGGTTTAGGAGAGAATTGTCTTTTTTTTAAAAAAACGAATTCTCTTCCCCCCACCACCTACCCACCACCTCCGTCTCTCCTAATGGCAAACGCTGAACTCCCGTGCCATATCGGTATTGCAGTGAAATTAGCCTATGTGCAGACAAGAAAGAGGTTTCAGTTCTCGATGGGATTGCGGCTCATGTAAAGGACCGAACTTGCACTCTGGCGTGGCCGACAGAGCCAGGATTGTCACTGGAAGGGGCATGCAGCACCCATCGCAAGTTAGAGTTAATGCAACCCCTTCTGGATAAAGCTTGGCCAGAGTTGTTCATCGCCTTGGTAATTTCTAGTCTGGATTACTGTAATCACTTGTATATATAGGACTGCCTTTGAAGATTCTCAAAAATTTGAGTTAGTACAAACCACAGCTACAAGGTTACTAACTTGGGTTGGTTATAGAGAGACCATATCATTTTGCCAGTTCTTAAACAGCTATACTTGTTTTCTGCTCTGTTTCTGGGCACAGTTCTGAGTCCTGGTTTTCTATAATGTCCTAAATGACTTCAAGCCTGCCCACCTGCCCAAACACTACAGTGCGTACCAGAGGCTTTTTTCTGAGTGCCACCACCATCTGAGTTTAGGCAACTGATGACCAGAGAGAAGGTTGTCTTGACTGTAGAGCCTTCATATGGAATGCCTTACTAAAGAAGCATCCCTCTAGGAATATATATACCTTTATTATGAGGTATCACATAAGACTGCTGTGGTTCAGTTGCCCTGCAGAGCCAATTGTTAAGGTTAAAGGCTAGAAACTTGTATGTATACAAGTATCAAGGCTTGGGAAATGAATTAATGCCTCTTGAATAGCTAGAAAGTGTAATATCTTTGTATGTACTACAAAGACCTGGGTGGGTGAGCTGGGTGGATTGGCTATGACTCAGCTTTACCAGCCCAGGTACTCTGTGCAGCACCAACAAATATGTGTATGCTCATCCATAGAGTTTCAATCTGTCTTACTCGAAAACTTGTTTGGGAGCTGGATTGTGAGGCTTTCTACCTGATGTTTGGCTGGAGAGACAGAAAATGATCTTTGGCTTTCACTACAGGGTATACATTAGGAGTGAGCCAGTGGAAGGGGCATGTGTATGTTGCCCTATTGTCATAGACAGACTACTCCCTGGCGATATTTGGTGTGATTGTAGCTGACTTCCCCTGAAGGGTAGGGAAGATGGCCCTTTTCCAAAGATTTATGGTACCTAAGGGATTCCTGAGCACACTGGATTTTTCAGCCCTTGCTCCAAGGGATTTTCCAGGCAGCACTGCTGGTGCTCCAGTCTCACTGTGGAACACCAGGATGATCAGGGCTATCAACACAATCATTCCAGAAAGTCATGAGGAGCCCAGAAGGTTCCTTGTTTTTCCGAGGACCTGGAAAGCAATGAAGCAGGCTGGTAGATGGCCACAGTGACACCAGTGCCATCAGTGAACCACCCAGCAGAGCTTTCTCACATGGTGAGCAGGCTGGTCAAGTCCAGTTTGGGAGCAGAAACTGCTAACCACTCAGTAGCAAAACACTGAGAGCAAAGTCAGTTGCATCCATTCGTAACTTGACATGGCAGTTGCTGCTGTCTGTGGAGGCTTTTAGAGCACTGTCTGGTCAAAATTTGTGAGATAAACATCAGTTGTTACAGCCTGAGGATGCTGGCAGGCTTTTTTTTTAAAAAAAAAAATCAAAACAGAGTGGTATCCATTGTTATACCCATTGAAATCAATGGACTTAAGTTAGAAAGGCTGTTGATTTCAGTGGGTCACCTCTGAGTATGACTTACTTGGATATCACCCAATACTAGTAGTAATAATAAATAATATTATTTTTAAAGTGACACGTCTTTGTGACACTATCCATAGGAAAAATTATAGAATTATCTCCTTGGTGCTATCCTGAATTCATCCCTAGTTGTTTTGCAAAGACTTGTCATGCTTTTCAAAGCAGGACTTGTAGGATATTGAGGCATTAAGACGTTTTTTCTAGATAACTGACCTGTATACCTTCTCTCCTTCACCACAATCAAGGATGTGATCTTCATGGTGTCGTGTTGGAATCTTGAGTTTTAATCTGAGTCACCCCAATGGATGCGGAGAGTGATGTTGCCTTGGACATTTTAATCACAAATGTAGTCTGTGTCTTCCGAACAAGATGTCATTTAAACTTGCGAAAGATTGCGTTAGAGGGAGCAAATGTAATATACAAGCGTGATGTTGGGGTAAGTTACTTCTCAGTTTTAGTTCACTCGTTGACTTCTTCTAATAAGGCATATTCAACACATATACACCAATGTGTTGATTTTCATTCTCTATGCAGCAGTTTTGTTAGTGTTTCAGGGGCATTTTTCTTTTAATATGAAATTGCAGAATTTAACACCGTCATACCCAATTTCAAAATACTGCCATTGAAGACTTCTGAAGTCGGGTGATCTGATAAGTTTCATTTCTGTGTTTTTCATTTCTGTGTTTTTTTATATATATATTTTTTAAAGTGACAAAATGCAGCTGTTTATTGAGCAGTACATGATTCAACACATTCTGAATTTTCGTTAACCCCACCTTTTTTAATAAGTATTGTGTCATTTGTGTGAAGGTCATCTCAATATTGCAGATACAGCAGCTTTGAGGAAACATGTGTTGACATATACAGCATATTTGTTTGATCAGAGGTGTGTGTGGTGTTTGAAAACATTTTTTTAAAAAGACTTAAACTTGCTAAGTGTCAGATTGTAGCCTATGTATGTGAAGTTCTTGACAGTGTGCTTTCTTTCTATTAGCTTGAAATTCGATTATCAAAACCTGTAGCAAAGCAAAATGTGCATTACAGCGGTACCTTGTGTTGCGAACCGTCCCCCTTACGAATGCTTCGGGTTACGCACTCCGCTAACCCGGAAGTAGATGCCCCTTGTTACGAACTTTGCCCTGGGATGTGAGCGGAGATCGCACTCCAGTGGTGCGGCAGGCACCATTAGGGAAAGCGCATGTTATTAGGGGTTTCCGCTTATGAACGGACCTCCAGAACGGATTAATTAATAATTCACAATTATTATATAACCGGAGGTACCACTGTACTATAACCAGTAATAAGCAGTAGATATTTCAGTGACCAAACATGCAAGAGAATGTTATTTTTGGTAGTGTGACTACCATGTGTGCCATTAGGAGCTGGCTTGGTGTAGTTGTTAGAGCATCAGATTAGTACCTGGGAGACCAGGGTTCAAGTACCCACTCAGCCATGAAGCTCACTGGGTGATGGATGACCCTGGACCAGTTGCCTGACTCTCAGCCTAATCTACCTCACAGGGCTGTTGCGAGGATAAAATGAGGAGAACTATTTACACCACCTTGGAGGAAATGTGGAATATAAATGCAAGAAATAAATGAGTTTACTCCCCTTTCATTAAAATAATGACTATTGGGGAAGTTCAAGGGCTGAAATAGTTTTTTAAAAAAAAAAAACTTTGGAGTTCATTAACGCCTTTAAAAAACAGGAGTGCATACATGAAAAAAATAAAAAAAATATTTATTGTCCTGTTACAACTGCCTGTCTACATGTTAGAAGCAAAGATAGCAAAAGATAGTTGCAAGAAATACTGTATAGTGTGTTAATTAAATAGAATAAATTAATGTCTAAAAGCTTTACCCTTTGGTTAAGGTTAAAGTTATCCAGAAGGAAGCCACGATGAAATTAACAAATAATGGGAATAGTAACATGAACATAACAATAAAAGTGTATGAGCTTTAGCAAAAATGGCAGCATTTGAACCTGTAATTCATTGTTCTCTTTTGCTACACCAGGAAGTTTCTTTGTTTAAAGTATATTTTTTCCTGACTGATTTCAGAAAGTATTAATGAAACTTCGGAAACCAAGGATTACAGCAACAATTTGGTCCTCAGGAAAAGTAATTTGCACAGGAGCTACAAGGTATATATTGTTTGTGTTTTTTATCATCCATAAAATCACTTCTGTGTTGCTGTATTTTAACCCTTGCTCCCTTAACTTCTTAACCAATCGCTTGTGTGGTTTTTTTCCTATCTAGTGAAGAAGAAGCTAAATTTGGTGCCAGACGATTAGCTCGTAGTCTGCAGAAACTAGGTTTTCAGGTAATTCTTTCAATCACTGATGAATTGTGGCCTTTTAAAATGTTTTTAATTCAGAGAATTGCTGTTTAAAGAGATCTGTTTCTAGAAAACCAGGTGATTAGGCTTACTGCTGAGCAGATTTCCAGAAATTTGCTTGGCAATCATGAGTGCTCTTCCTTTGCATTGCAAGTCCCTGGGTTTTGTGCTTATATAAAGAACCACACACATAGGAGATAAACCATACCTTTCTACTTGTGGGAAGGAAACAAGGGGTGACGCTCTGTTCTTTTTCTGCAAAAGTTTTCGCTGCTGGTGCTGCCTTATAAAAAGGGGAAGGGAAAGGAGAAAGCAGGCCTTTTTATTTGTATTTATTCAATTTATATCCTGTCCTCCTTCTCAGAGGAGCCCAGGGCAGACAAGTATAAAACACTAAAAACATCTTAAGACATCGGTTTCTCATTTGCTCTGGCAGGCACAAACCTTTGCCAAGTCAAGGGAGATCACTTGCTGCCACTAAGAGCAAAAGAAGAACTGAACTGTTGCTTTTAAAAGTTAGAGCCCATCAACATTTTCTATAAAAGGGTTTGTTTGAAATGAAGCAGGAACATGATTACAAGAATGATTATGGTTACAATGATTGTCTTTCCCAATACTCAGCAGAATTTGTGGTTGTTGACAGCCATTGTAGCCACTAGTATAAACTATGCAAAGCTAACTGAACTGATGTCAGTGCACTTCAGTTAACTGGAAGTTGACATCCTTTCTGAAAAGGTGTAAATGGCACAGCCTAGCAACAATTGAGCACTTTTAGGTTTAATGTGCTTAATTCTCTCCCATTGAAATCAATAGGACTTATTATCTTTAGGTTTGGAATTATTGTGCCTAAATGTAGCCTTTCATAGTTGCCTGTGATCTCCTTCAGGTAATTGAAAGCCATATTAGTACATTGTTAGTAAGCAAAAGAATTCCAGTATAAATTACACTAAATTAGGTGTGATGAGACCTGAAAAGAAACTTACCTTGCCCTAGAACTGTCAAAAATTTCTAACCATTATAGAGTTTTAATTGCCCTTTATGTTGTATTTTTGTTCGAAGTTGTATTAAACTACTGTTGGCCTTTTAGTTAAAATGAAGCCAAAATGTGTATAAGTCCTTGGCTTTCAGATTAGTTCCTAATATTTTCATTTGTGTTCTTTTTCTTTCTAAAAGGTGATTTTTACAGATTTTAAAGTTGTCAATGTTTTAGCAGTATGCAATATGCCCTTTGAAATCAGATTGCCGGAATTCACAAAAAGCAACAGACCCCATGCCAGGTATAGTAGATTTTATATCTATTTTCTCTCTCTCTTTTTATTTTGCATTTTCATTTTTTAAAGCGAGCTTTGCATTTCTCCTTAGTTATGAACCGGAGCTTCATCCTGCAGTGTGCTACAGAATAAAATCTCTCAGAGCTACTTTACAGATTTTTTCAACAGGAAGTATCACAGTTACAGGTATTCACCTTTTTGTGAATAAGTAACTTTCTCCGTGTTGTAGCTCAGGTAATTAAGTGTTTGATAAGGTCAGCATGTGTATATGACTTCCCACTAATTTCTGTGTACCTGTGCCATCTGATAACTATTGTTGTAGATCAGGCATGTCCAACAGGTCAGTCGTGGGTGTGTCCCAGGTCAATTGCAGTATACAGTTCAGTGATCTCCTTAGTGTTAGTGTTCCTTTTAGGACCCCCTCCCCCAAAGAAAGCTCAACAACTTTGGCCAACCCTCCCCCGCAAAAAGCTCAACAACTCCTGGCAATGACAATGGGTAGATCACAGCTGGTCTCTTTCTACTGTGAGTAGAGTGCACTCTCTTGGGAGTTGGACGTGCCTGTTGTAGATTAAAACGAGAGTTGGATTATGATTTGTTTTGGAGATTTCGGTGGTTGTTTGAGCTAACTCATTAGCAAATAGGATTGCTGCATATTTAAGAAGAGATACTTTGATTTAAGCTGTCTCATCTCAAAGCCAACAGGGCGCTCAAAACTTAAATCTAAAGTATAACAACTGGGTTATGTGTTGGACTGCTGGACTTGCCGATGGCAGTGTCCCAGACAATTTAGAATACTAAGTGCAGGAAGCATTCTTTGAAAAATGAAAGCTTCTCTGCTGGGTTTTGTGCTTCCACTTCCTGTGTGGATTTCTGGCCTCTTTGTTTCCTGGTTGTCAGTGTGAGACAATGGAGATCAGACCAGAATGTACACAGATGTGATGTGGGATGTGTGCACATGGGTGAGGTGTGGCATGTGCTGAACAAGCATTTTCAGGTTAGTCTGAATTTACTTCCTACTTTGCCATGTAGCAGTTTTAAGTAATGCTAGCAATGTTGATATATATTGAGACTATTGGTCGATTCAGGTTTGTTAGAGTTTAGTTCAAAATATATTCACGATCAAGGAACTGAAGCTATAGGGTTAGCTTTTGTGTGTATCCTTATTCTAATGTTTTATCTTGTCCTACCCTCAGGGCCAAACGTAAAGGCTGTTGCCACTGCAGTGGAACAAATTTATCCATTTGTGTTTGAAAGCAGGAAAGAAATTTTATAAGTTGCCACTTCACGGTTAGGCGAGCTAACCAAGCACCTTTTATAAGACTGCTGCGCATTGGACTAATAGCAAAAAAAAAAGAAGGTGGGGAAGAAAAGGACAACTGGACCAACACAGCTGAGGAGGTGCAAACTCTTGGCCGCGGTGATAAACTCCAGTCCCTTTTGGATTTTATTTGGAACAGTGCTGTATTGTAAAAACAAACGTTTACAAGATACGAAATTGCTGCTTTTTACAAGACATTCTATTTATTTCTGCAGTAATTTCTGTGTGTTCATAAGCAGATTTGTCATGATATGCACTAAATTTGAAAACACTTCTATAGGTTGAGCTTGTGTTTTTATTTGTGAATATTCTTTACATTTTTGTACGCTGACTGTTGGGCACCAAAGAAGCTGTAGACGTTACCCTTTTTCACCTGATAAAACGTGCACAAATAAAAGTCTGCAAAACTTTTCTTTATACCTGTTCGGTTACGTTCCTTCTCCTTTTTCTATTAACAATTGTATATTGGCAAAGTAACTAGAGCAATGTTAGTGTGATCTTCTGCTCTGATTTTATTCCAATTTTTGTGCGCCTGTAAAGTGAACTGTAGCAGACTAGGTTGACATGAATGAAAGATATGTATGTGTTCTAAGGACAGAATTTGGTTTTATTGTAATATATTTGTAACTAAATGCAGAATTTAGGGGATCTCTTTCCAGCCAGTCTAAGCAAGGGTTAAGCATAATAGGCTTGAGTGATGAGAGAAGCTTCTGTTCTGAAGTATTTGGCGTTAGTCAAATCAGCTATCCTATTTCCAGATGCAGGGTTGTTTTTAAAAGGAAACCTGCCTTGAACTACTGCTAGTGACTGATTTTAATTTTCAGGGAAAAGTGTATTTTTTCATGGATGCAGTTCTATGCTACTTCTAAAGAACTCTGCACATATTTGCCAAATGTTGCTATAGTACTGTTAGAATTATTTTTTAAAAAATGCTAACAAAACAAGAAAGCTTGGCTTTGGCATGTAATCTTGGACTTGAAAAGCCAATATTGAAACTGCATATGGAACAGATGAGTGGTAAATCATAAGGCAAATGAAAATGGTACCCTTGCCAACTACAATAAATATGTCAAAATGCATCTATGTCTCTTTCCCGTATCTAAGTCTCGAGGTGAACAGAATGTGGGCATGACTGCTGCAGGTGCGAAGCATTCATTGTCCAGATTTGTACTGGACTCAGTGGAGTACTGTAAATAAAATCCTTTTGAAAGCCTGCACTTTTTTATTTTTGCAAAATACTGCGAAATATAATGAGAATCTTTGAGGGGGAAATGGATACAGAAGAATCAACTTGTTCATGAACGGTGGGGGGCGGGGAGGACAATGCCAACCAACCCTTAAAAGTTCTCTAAAAATGTATTCTCCAAGCAAGTGCCATGCACTCAAATGTAAATAGTGACACATGAACCAGGTGATCAGGAGAAATATAGCCATAATTCTAATGGACGGTGAGAAAGGACTGCCACAATCAGAAACTGCCGCTATGGACTGGATTCAACAAAGTACAGTGGTACCTTGGTTCTCAAATGCCTTGGTACTCAAACGCCTTGGAACCCAAACACTGCAAACCCAGAAGTAAGTGTTCTGGTTTGCGAACTTTTTCGGAAGCCGAATGTGCCCTGTTTTGAGTGTTATGCTTCCAATTTGAGTGCCACGCTTCCGATTTGAGTGTTATGCTGAGGTCTGTCTGTTTTTGCTATGTCCAGAACAGTATGCAAGGGAAGGTGGTTTCATTGTGCAAAAAAATCTTGTGCTGATGCAACATTTGTTTTGCTGTAGCGTTGAATTCCTTTATCTTTGGCTGCCGGTTTTACATAGAACGTTACACACCATAAGTGCATGCCTGAGAACCTTTGGGAGCATTTGCATTTTTAAAAGTGTGTGAAATAGGAGGGCAGACAATTTGGCAAGCCTGATAAGGGGAGATAGCTTAATTACTTACTTGATATGTGTTGACTTTCATGACGGTGGGCCAACCACTTATGTAAGAGTTTGATAAGTGGCACAAAGGCCAAATCACACAAAGTCAGGAATCCCAGAAACTCCTCCCACCTAAGAAGCAGAGGGCCACTTACCAGGGTCTGGGAAGGTTGCAGGGGGACCATGAGAGCCCTCACACCTCCTTCCTAGAGGCTGGTAAGGAAGCTGCCACCATACTTACCAGGCTTTGGGGAGGCAGTGTGAGGGCTCTGGGATGCTGCCTCCCTTAAGCAAGGAAAGCCCAGATAAATGGAGAGCAGAGAATGGTGGGTTTTCCAGGCTTTCCATTTATTTATTCCCCCCACCCCCATGTAAAGTTGCGATCTCATAAGCAAAGCGAGTGCAACTTGCAGCCTTACGGTATGTGTTATGCTAATCAGACTTAAATAAAAGTACCAAAATTTATAAAAAGAAAGTTTCTGCCTATGAGCAGCCTGCTTGCGAGGTGAGTTGAGGAGCTGTAGAATAGAATGGTTGCCACCCTCTCATCTGCTCCAACTTTAGGAGGAAGGCTGGAGATATTCTGTCACTGCGTTTTCAAAACAACTGAATAACCAAGGCATTACAAGCCAACCACATTAGTTCCTGTCACCCTTTTCTGCACACAACTGTTAAGAAAACAAAACACTGGGAAACCAAACTTGTCATGAAAATAGAGGGTCTTTCATGCGTTTTTTAAAAAAGCATTCTTGTTTCAAAGAACCCACATACATGTGGCAGGTGAAGATGCTTCTGAATCAAATTATGCTTACAGTATTAACTTTTATGGACTAGCAGATTGGTGGAGGCACAAGGATGGTGAGCGACAGCAATCAATTACAGGCTGATTCATACGTTTTACCGAGTCATGTTGTATATCTGCTAAACATGTAGTGTTTCAAGTACATTTGAACAGCTGTGATAGCTCAGTCAGTAAAGCATGAGACTCTTAATCTCAGGGTCACGGACAAAATATTCCTGCACTCTACAATACTGCACTTCTATCTGTTTTGGCTACTTCCTACTTAAGATAGAAGGTGATCAGGTCTTTCAAGGCTGCTAGGCCATAGATGTTGCTTCCCTACTGAAGTTTTTAAAATAGTTCGAAAATACAGCTTAATGGTTGACGCAGCAGTCATTGAACACAACAGTAGTTGTTAAACTATAATGCTTTTATGAGTAATCACAAATAATTAAGAGTGATCTGCCTATGCCATCATGGAAGTATACTTTATCATTCTTGATATTTGCTAGAGAAGTTGTAGCCCAGGGGTAAGTAATCTGTGACCTTCCAGATCATTTTGGATTCATCACTTCCATAAGCCCCAGGCAGAATTGCCCAATGGTCAGGGATGGTGGGAGCTGCAAGGCCACAGGCTAGCCATTCCTGCTGTAACCCCCTATGCCTGAGATTTGCTAAAATTCAAGTGTGCATAGTCTTTCAAGAAACAGCAGAAAGGCCTGTTGAGGACCTCCTACTTTAGTGCTTATGAATTTCCTCCCCTCCTGCGCTATGGAAACTTCTGCTTTCTCCTTTAAACTAATCAGAGTTTCCTGTTGCAACCTAACAGGGCCATACTGGTTAGTTTGTGGTGCGTTCAAACTAGAAAGCAGATGCTTCCCGCTTCACTGATGTGCTGGAGGAGAGAGAAGTGGTCGAGCAGGCTCATTCATTTAACACTAAACCATGGTTTGGCTGCTGTGCTTTAGTTTGGTCATTATGCTAAACCAGGCTTCCTCGGACTCGGCCCTCCGGATGTTTTTGGCCTACAACTCCCATGATCCCTAGCTAGCAGGACCAGTGGTCAGGGATAATGGGAATTGTAGTCTCAAAACATCTGGAGGGCAAAACATCTGGTATATTACTATCATGATCATTACTATTCTTGCCTATCCTTCATCATAAGGTTCCTGGGTGAGTTGTAGCATAAAAAAACAAAAACAACCCATCCTATAATAATAACAAATACCCACATTTTGGTCAGATTCACAAGCTCTAAACCACTGGTGGAAGATTCTCTCTGGTATATCCCGTTCACCTAGCATAATGTGATATTTGAGAGATTTGTGTGTTACAACGTGAAAAACCTTTTACAGAGTCCATTGAACCAAAAAATACAGAAAAGCTTATTTGTAGTAGAAGAATATGCATATGGAAGTACTGCCAGCATTTCTGAGTATTCTACCATTTTGTCAACCTTTAAAAAATATATTGATGTGGGTTTTGTGCACCATCCTGCCTTAGTAGAATTGTTCATGGGTCTCTTTGCTGGGAAGTTCTATAGGCATCAGTTGATCCTGGCGTCGGCCCCTCCAGCATTGAGTACTTGTTGCATACTTTCTGGAAGAAAAGGGAGGCAGGATCAAGGCAATATATTTTTACTATAAGAATTTCTATCCCTTACAGGCAACATTGGCAGTTGTGCTTTTGGAGCTAATTGAGTTGTGGTTGGCATGGGTCTTTGCCACCTTAGACCGGTGTGGTTTAGATTTTTTATTTTTTATTTTTTAAAAAGTTTTAACATTAAATGGAATTTAGTCAACTTCACACTTGTCATCAGATATGGTCTGACAACCATCATGTGACAGACAACTGCTTGTTAAAAGATGAAACGCGAAGCTTGTTTTGAAGTGTATAAATCATGCAAATAGTACAAATCCGCATTTTCTTTGCATACATAACATCAATTTATATGCATTGTTCCAAATTTTACAGAATCTGGATTTCTCCTAGTTTTTTGCAAAGAACACACTGATGAAGAGACAGATACCATTTACAAAGAGCAGGTGAAAATATTTTTAAAGGCAATTTCTCAAACTCCTACAGTGGTACCTCGAGTTAAGAACTTAATTTGTTCCAGAGGTCCGTTCTTAACCCGAAACTGTTCTTAACCTGAGGTACCACTTTAGCTAATGGGGCCTCCTGCTGCTGCTGCCGTGCCACCGCTGTGCGATTTCTGTTCTCATCCTGAAGCAAAGTTCTTAACCCGGGTAATTTCTATGTTAGCGGAGTCTGTAACCTGAAGCATCTGTAACCAGAGGTACCACTGTATTCTGAACAGGGAATTTAGACAAATAATAGTATTTTTAAGGTAAAAAAAAAATGTAAAAGAAACAAGGCTGCAAGAGTGTTTTTCAATGCTAACTTCCCACCCCAGCTATAAAATTACTATGGCTATATTACCTGGCTGACCTTACAAGTGAGTTAGGAATAAAAAATACTATATATCAGCATCAGCTGAGGTGTGAATTCTGCTATTAAAACAACACATTGATTCACAAAGATCCTCAAAGGCCATGGACGTAGCCAGGATTTTTGTCAGGAGGGGCAGAACCTCAGTTTGCTATGCATTTTTACTTATTTTTATTGATGAGGGGGGCAGCTGCCCCCCCCCCCCCGGCTATGTAACAATATCTTACCTGGCTTTGTTAAAGCTCACAGAATTGGGCTCAGTGTGGCCTCTTCATGCAGGATTTATTAATAATGAAACCACAGTATAGACTGTCCTGCTCTATGGAAAGCTTGCATATAGGTTCTGAGCCCATGAAAAAAACAAACCACCAGGAATGGAGTCAGTGAGCTCTCAGTTCCCTTCAGCTGCTGCCAAGTGTGACACAATACAAGCCCACTAGATGGCAGCTTTTACTTCCAAGAGCATTTGTAACCTCATGAGGAAGGATGTGCCGTTTTTCACACTGCCATTTACTAGAATGCTGTTAAAAACACCGTAACTTCCATACTTACTGTTTTGCCAGTTTCATAGATATCTGCTCTAGGGAACATCCTTTTGTCTCGGGGATGAAGAAGACGACAAACGCCAACGCTGCCAGGCTCATCATGGCATAAACAAAATAGACCCATGGTAAACCAATGAGATCTAAGAATTTTTTTAAAAAATAAATAATTAGTTATTTTAGGAACCTTGTTCTCAGTCCAGGTCAGCAGAGCGGGGGTGTGTGTGTGATCTGTGGCTTTCCAGATGTTGCTGAACATCAGCTCCAGCAAGCATGGGCAATGGCCAGAAAGGACAGGGGCCATCGGCCACTGCTCAGTCCCCTGCCTCCTCCCAAAATGTCACATGACATTGCATGTCACACATGTGACGTCACACACGCGACCGGCCTCTCAGTCATTGGTGCAAGTTGGTGCTTCTGCTTACCCCCTGTATTACATAGGTTGCTATTTAAATAAAGGTGCAGAAATAAATTCATTAAATGAGTTTCGTTTCGCAGGCATGCCGTGTGCATGACCACATTGTCTCTCATGCAAGGGTTGAGTCACAACAACCTTAGAGAAAGGGGCCAAAGGGTGGGATTTTGAAATTCTCCCAACAGTTTTTCCTCAGAAAAATTGTCAGCTAAGAAATGTTGGTTCACTGAGTGCAGAAGCAGCAATGTTATAGTGGTGGCCAGAGCTTAGAGGTCAGGAAGGAGCCAAACCTATTGCTTCCTTCAACATTAAGAGAACTAGGTTCACAGTTGCACCCGAACGGTGAAAATGGGGTGCTATTTTGTAAAGTAGTCTTCAGGGGAGAGTTGAATATTTATCAATGGTTTGTGAGGAGATTTTAAAAGAGCATTTCAGATATGACTTTTAGAAGACATCTGAAGGCAACCCTGTTTAGGACAGCTTTTAATGTTTGATGTTTTATTGTGTTTTTAATATTCTGTTGGGAGCCGCCCAAAGTGGCTGGGGAAACCCAGCCAGATGTGTGGGGTATTATTATTATTATTATTTATGTAAGTATAGTCAGCTAAAGCCTAACTAGGCATGGGGGAGAAACTAGATTCAGTTTGTATCGAAGGTGAATCTACCTAATTCATGTTTTCTGAAATAATAAGCGAACCAGGAGAAACAGCCATTCTACAAAATTTGCGCTTTCTAAATGTTGCAGTGCAGTTCCCCAGCCAAGTAATGTATGCATTAAATGTTCCTTTAAATGCATATGTGTGAAAATAAGATATAAAAACACATTATATTAGGGAAAATATACTTTGCATGTATATTGGGCAAACTTGCACAACCCCTGGTCTTACACACATGCGAAATTTGAAGCCAGCCTTATTCTTGTGATTTTACACTCTTCTTAATGCTGCATTTTAAGTTGTGGTGACCCATTATGCTCACCCTTACCCATACCAGCCTTACCTGTTGTAGTCAAAAAGGTTGAGGAGATTAGAAGATTAACACCCCAGTTCATGCTGGAGGTTAGAGCCATCGCTCTTCCTCTGATCCCACCGGGAAATATTTCACTCAGTACCAGCCAGGACACTGAAATTAAAAATACAAACGTAACAGTGTGCGGTGTTATGCAAGGTTCATCTAGTCTACCTTCACAAATCCCTGTCCTGATCCTATGCTCCCTCATTCCACTAAATTGGGCAACGGTGGGGGGGGGGGCACAGGTGCCAGAAGCAGCAAAGCCAGTGGGAGTTTTGGGTATTCCTTGATATAAGCTGTAGGGCACACAATACAGAATCAGGCCTACACTCCTGCTTGTCTCTCCCCAGTACTGTACTGAGCTTCTTGCTGCACCTAGTTCAGCAAACTAAAGCAAAACCACCTCAAAGGTATTGGGGCAGGGGGTTGCATGTGACCATGGATGGGAAAGCCTGGATAGCTCAGTTGGTTAGAGCATGGTGCTGATAACGTCAAGGTTGCAGGTTTGATTCCTGTATGGGACAGCTGCGCATTCCTGCATTTCAGGGGGTTGGACTAGATGATCCTCAGGGTCCCTTCCAACTCTACAATTCTGTGATTCAAAGTCATGGAAGAACACCTTATTTACATTCCGAGGGTCACAGGTGCTTCCAGACTGTCAGTATGTTGTGGGTGGGATACAAGTGGCAAACTATAGTTGCACAATTATGGCAGATTTGGTGCTCTTCCAAACTGGACTTTTTGCGGTAAGGAAAGTGATGGCAAAATGTACTGGGAAGAGTGGGAGAACAGTCATTTTACCTGCTGTTGTATAACCTCATCACAAATCACTGCTCAATAAACAGCCAGAGAAGTATAATCTCCATGCAGATTTCATGCAAATAGGAGAGATGCTCAATAAACAAATCGGAAAGCAACCACAGCTTCCATTTCTAATGTCTCTAATTAAAAGGCCTTAGGTAGCTGGGAAATTTACTTAAGACATGTGTATGCTATCTTTGATGGCAAAGCCCTCCCAAGGAAGCAGCAAAGCAGACTGAAAACATTTTTTATTTTTTTATTAATCTACCGCAATCCAACTTCACAACGGAAAAACAGCATCAGTTTAAAAGCCCAACATAACTGTTTTGTGAAAATGCGGTTTGAAATACAAATGTTTCATATGTCTGGCCAAAGTGGGGATATGTACTTAGCATTGTAGAACTGTAGAGTTGGAAGGGACTCATAGGGTCATCTAGTCCTGCAATGCCAAAATCATTTGCCCCACATGGGGCTGAAACCCACAACCCTGAGACTGAGTCTCATGCTCTACCAACTGAGCTATCCACCACCTCCCCGCTTCTCTGGGAGACCATTCCAAAGATATGGGGCTGCCACTGACCAGGCCTGCTTCCGAGAACAACACATCAGATGAACCAATGGTGGACCTGTGTACAGGGCCCCTGAAGCTGATCTATAAATGACAGCCAGGTTTGTAAGGGAGGCAGCAGTCTTTCAGATAACATAATCCCAAAGTTTCAGTTCTTCTGTTTCAGCATCTCCTTGCATTGTTATAAAACTATTTTCCTTCTGCCAGGAAGCAGCAAGAACCCAAAGGGATATTTCCACTTCGGCAATACCAGTACCCAGATGGCAGCTTTTTAAATTGGCAGCTGAAAATCTCAAAATCTCCATCTATCTTTTCTCAACTGAAGAATCTGAAGCACTCTATCTGGCACAGTGCTTGGCTTCCCATGCCCATTCATTGAAGAAGCTACATTTCAGAATAGGATTAGACTGATGCACCCACTGCCTTTTACGGACAACATTCCAATATTTTGTTGAAGTTCCTCGCTGATAATGATTGATACGTTTGGGTTTAAGGATTAAACTGTACAGTTGTCATAATAGTACTCTAGCAGATTAAATGTGGATGGAATGCAGGAAATAACCTCTTTGGGAGGCGAGTTATGGAAGGCTTTCGTTGTGGCTGATGATATGAAAATAAAGTAGCTTAGAGTCTTTGGTCTGATGAACAAAACTTGCTCTGTTCCAGCTCTTATGTGAAACCCTCTGGCTTCTTATTGTGGGCATCCAAGCTATATTCCCAACAGGCCTATGCAGAGTGTGCTTCTGACCTTGGAGGAGAGGACTACCTCTGAAACAGGCACTGAGCCAGAGCTAAAGACTCCAGACTTCCCAACTCCATTAACTTCACTGAGTTATGCGTGTTTGCAGATAAGGAACAATACATACTGTTTTCTCCTGAGCACATATACCTGAGAAATTCATTTAAGAACTTTCCTTTTTGACCTTAACCCTTGCCACTGTAACAGGTACAGCTATGTGGCTGTAATCTAAACAATATAGCAAAGAATTAACTTGGTTTTCTGACTTTTCTTCTTCTCTGTCTAGTAGCTTAAAGACTATTAAAGGAAAGTGTGTGTGTGTGTGTGTGTGTGTGTGTGTGTGTGTGTTTCTTTAAAAAGTAGAGTTCAAAGTACTTGAAATGGTTTATTGGGTTACAAAGGTACGCATTGGGGGGGTGGAGATCAGACAGATTTACAGCTTAGAAATGAATGAGGCATGGGATATGAAAGCCTCTGAAAGAAATGCATGATTAAGAAGTGGTGCAAGTTGAGGAATGCTAAGTAAAAGGGATTATTCCCCAAGCAATAGGGGTGGAGAAAAGAGAACCAAACACAGGCATAGGCAAACTCGGCCCTCCAGATGTTTTGAGACTACAACTCCCATCATCCCTAGCTAACAGGTGGTCAGGGAGGATGGGAGTTGTAGTCCCAAAGCCAGTGTGGTGTAGTGGTTAAGAGTGGTAGTCTCATAATCTGGGGAACCGGGTTCGCGTCCCCGCTCCTCCACATGCAGCTGCTGGGTGACCTTGGGCTAGTCACACTTCTTGAAGTCTCTCAGCCCCACTCACCTCACAGAGTGTTTGTTGTGGGGGAGGAAGGGAAAGGAGAATGTTAGTTGCTTGGAGACTCCTTTGGGTAGTGATAAAGCGGGATATCAAATCCAAACATCTGGAGGGCCGAGTTTGCCTATGCCTGGCCGAATACATACAGCACACCTCCAAAGGCAAAAGCAACAGATGGACTAATGAATGCAAAAAACCCTTCTCTGTGAAGAAGGGACTCAGAAGGTACAACTGATGATTTATATGATGTTAGGAAGAAGCCCAGTGTGGCTTATGCACAGTCCTGTGGAACTTCTATTTATACATGCATATGATTGGGCTGTCTAAATGATTTGATGAGTTTTCTCAACAGAGATACAAGCCCTGAGAGGAATCTGATCCTTGGGAGAGCTGATACTCACAGGGACATATTTTCTCTGCCTTCTCACCTGAAGCAATCAATCAATCAATCAATCAATCAATCAATCAATCAAGGATTGTCCAAGCAAACCCAGCTTGTGCCTACAAGGCACTGAAAAGTAAAGCTCAGAATAGGCATCTTTATTTCTTAAACTTCAAGCATCACACAGATGCTTGAGACGAAAATCCTATACGCAGAAGGGGCTTGACTGATTTGCTCTTCTGCTGTGCTTGTACCCTGCTGGCCCTTTCCCCTCTCCCTTCCAGTAAGCAAGAGCAACTCACCTGCCAGGAAGCTAGCAGATTGGGCCCGCCCACACTTCCACTTGCCCTGTGCCTAGGAAACCTTGGTCTGAGAGGTTTTCTGCTTGTTCCATCCCGTTTGCCCTGCCCTTTCCCCCCAGGAAAACCTGCTCTCTACCACTGAATTGGAGCAAACCTCAATCTGCTGTAAACCCAATTGACATTTGCTCCAATTCAGCAGTAAAGAGTGGGTTTTCCCAGGGGAATGTGGTATGGCAAGAAGACATGTGGATGAGCCTGTCTAACAGAGCCCATATCCCACCCAGCAAGCCACTCCTGCTCATAGACACTGAGGTCTCTTCTTACTTATCAGTCAAAACAACTTGCAATAAATAAATTGAAAAACACTTACTTGGTCCAAGTCCTATGGAGAAAGCAGCAATGTAAACAAGCAAGCAGGCCAGAGAAAGCCATTTCAGAGCTGATCGAACTTCCATTGCTTCTGTTGCTACCTGAGAATCTGTGTGGCTTGTGTCGGGGGCTCTGCCTCCCACTGACATGGTCTTGTTCCACCTTTCCGTATTAGAAATGTCAGCCTTCCATTGTGAAACTGTGCTGGACGAAGCCAGGCTAGCAAATTGCTCCTCAAGAGTTTCATTTGTGGAGGTCAATTGTCCCACTCCGTGGAATGTGGCATCTTCCCAGGACTGGTTTCTACAGACAGCAGTGGCATTCATATGTATATTAAGCGTGATCAATCCCATGGTGAACAATGACACAGACATGAGGGATGAGCCAATGATAAGAAACGTCTTGCTTCCTATTTGGTCGACGAAAAGGGTGGCTGGGATTGTACTGACCACTTTGACCACTCCAACACCAGTAGAGGCCAAACTAGCTGCCTGATTGCTCTGAAACCCAACTGCTTTCAGAACAGTGGAGGCATAAAACAAGATGTTAGGCTGTCCTGTTGTTTGTACAAAAAACACTAGAGTGATTCCTATCAGCATCCGAGTCCTCATATTGTCTTTTGAATGGAACAGATCCCAAAAACGGTACTGGTGCTCATCTTTCAAGGAAGATTTGATCATAGCAAGTTCTTTGGTGATGTCTGTGGTTGTCCTGAGTTTTCCAAGCACTTGGCTGGCAGCTTCGTCAAAGCCTTTCATAACGAGAAAACGAGGACTTGGCAGAAGGAAATACAAAGCAATGGCTTGTAGAATCCCCAATGGAATGACCAGGCCAAACATGTACTTCCAGCCATGGGAAACACTGGCAAAGGCATAATTTGAAACATAGGCAAAAAGTATGCCCACTACAATCATGAGTTCATTCAAAGACACAAGCAAGCCTCTTCTGTGCTGCGGGGCAATCTCTGCGATATACACACAAGTTGCGGTTGAGGAGAGTGAAATGGAAACCCCTATCACAATCCGCCCTATTATGAGGAGTCCGTATGAGGCGAAGAGTATCAGCACTAGACTTCCCAGTACAAGTAACCCAGATGCCAGCATAATGGCAACTCGCCTCCCATATTTGTCGATCAGGATCCCACCAGTCAACGAAGCAAGAAAGGCACCAATGAGAAGAGCACTTACAACTATCTCCTGTTGTCGGCATGAGAGGACTAGGATGCTAGTTAACTGAAGAAGAGCTCCAGAGATAACTCCAAATTCATAACCCATCAGAAGGCCACTGATAGCAGCAATGCCAGATGATAGAAGAGTGAGCATTCCGAATCCTGGAAATAAAGTTTATAGAAATATTCAGTTTTAGTTTAGTATTTTCAGAAAGTATATCTTTGCCCAAGATTCTTAAGCCAACAGAGATGAAATTTCCATCTAAGATGATTAAAAAACAACAACCCAGATCTTTGTTTCTGATACTTCCAGTTATTAGAATTGTATAGTTCGTTTACTAATAATAACTACTTAAGCTTCATATTTTAAAAAGAGGGTATATGTCTGAGTGTCCCTAAATACTCGCATGCTTGCTTTTGTAGTTATTCCCCATGTTCTGAGCCCAACTGATCATGTAATCCTTGATTTATTTAAATTTGCACTCATAGTGTAATTTTAAGATCAGCTCGGCCAGCTCGTTTTCTCAATGGTTTTTTAATTACTGCTTTTATGGTTTTGTTTTTGTACTTTGCAGACATGTGTTTTAATTTTTATTGTAAGCCAGGCTTGAGGCCAAACTGAAGAAGGCAAGATATAAATGCTTAAATAATAAATAAATAAAATTAAAATTGCATTGTGGGCCATAGCATGGCCCATTTAGATCTACATTCAGTTTCCAGTCAGGTGGCTCTGAAAAATCATGGATCTCATGTTGTTTCTTCCTAAAAGCCAGGCTTAGTTCAGTTATCATGATTAATAGTTCTGAATCACGTGCCTAAATCCTGTCGGTTGCCATGGTCGTGTCTTGGGCTGGATAATTCCACAGGTTAATTAAACAGCACTCCCTCTGTTTGCAACATTTAGGCTGTGAGTGCCATAACTAACGCAGCCAAAAGGGCACCAGACGCATACAATAAGAAGACTACTGACAGACTTGGGGGGGAACCCAAGGTTTGCAGAAGTGTATAACTTTATATATAAAGCTTCAGGAAAAATCCTCTGGGGAAGGGGGGGATGTTGCTGTGAGAACTGAGCATGCTCTGGTCATGGAATGTAGGCTGACTACTAGATAGGATAATGGGGGTGGGATGGGGGTGGAGATGCTGGGGCAATTGCCTCAGGCGCATTTTCTGGGGAGAGATGCTCATATCCCCCTCTCTGAGCCAGCCCTGCACCACTTTGCGAGGTTGGGATCTGATCAAATCCTAGCCTCACAAAGTGGCTTGAGGAGGGTGGCATGAGAAGGACGCCGTGCACCCGTTGATCACAGCCTCCCCAAGGGGCTTGGACCAAAGGGCACATGGTTGTTGCATCCTTCTCATGTCACCCTGCCCGGATCCCAACCTCACAAAGTGGGACCACCCTGCGGACACATTGTGGCCTATCAGGTGTCAGGTGTACAACAGTGCATTGTGGCCTGACAACCTCCTTACACTCCTTGTTTTGGCAATCTCAGACAGGCAACAAGAAGAGATTTGCCAAATATCTGGTGGGCTGTTTCTCATGGCAGGTGGGCTGCGTTTGGATCGGTGGGTCAGAAGTTGTGAAAGGGAAAGGGGGGGCAGCACCAAGCACAAGAAAGCAGAAAAGATAAAAGAAAGAGGCAAAGCCTCAAGGTGGTAGTGAAAACGAGAAGGGAAGAGAAAGCAATTTAAAAGGAACCTTTTTGTTTATTAGATTTATAGACCATCCTTCATTATAAGAGCTCAGGGCAGTTCACAAATAAAATGCAGGATAAAACTAAGTAAATAACTGAAACTAAAAAGCAAAACAAAACAGCAAAGAACTTATTCTGATAATATACACATAATCACTAATTATAATGAAACAACCCATTTTTAAAAACAAGTAAAGGACTTACCTTAATGCAACAAACCTAAACCTCTGCTAACCATCATACAAAACATCACACCTGAGCATGGACCATTACATGGACCATTAAAACTCTCAAGATTTCTCCTTACAAAACCACAATGTTATAATTAAAATGCATCTTGATGCATAAGCCCCTACAAGAATTATAACTGACAAATAGGAGCCGCAACAGGCTGGGAGTGTTGCTGTTCCTTGTTCAAGTTAGTCAGCGGGCCGTGTTTTTGCTCTACTCTATTCCACCCACAATGGATTTGTTCAAAGTAACATAGGTCTCCTTCAGGTAAAGGGCTGTAGCTCAGCCAGAGAACACATGATTTCATGCAGTAGGTCCCAGATCAGATACCTTGCATTTCCAGGTCGGAAACAGGAAAAGACCCATGTCTGAAATCCTGGTGTCACTACCAGTCAACATAGACAGTACTTAACTTGATGTACCAATTGTCTGACTTGGTGAAAGGCAGCACCCAGTGTTCTGACTGCATAAAGTATTTTACAGGTTGACTGCCATTCAGCCATGTTCCTATTAGCAACTGTGTGCATTGTAAAATGTCCTTTAAGAGAGTGCACTTTATAAATCCACAGCTAATTTTGTTTTAAAACTACTTTCTGTATGTATAAGAAACACACAAAAGTGTGAGCAGGCACTGAAAAAGTTTAGCGCTTAAAATTCACTTTCAGTTGTCCAATGAAAAGGCCCCAAGATCAGTGGATTAAAGTATAATCTTTTCCTTATTCAGCACCAGTACATTCTGTGTGAATGTATTTACCCCATGTAGCTGTTTTGTGTTACTTTTGGAACTCGACAGCTTGGAAGTCAGTGAAAGACCAAGAATGAACAACATGTGGGATAAACAAACTGAAGCAACACTGACGCTGAGGTTCTTTTTTAAAAAAATTAAAATAAATAAAAAATCTAGAAATAGCTACACTGCTCTTGGTGTGCTTAGAAACCAAAGCCAAAATCACTGGTGAAACATGGAAGAGAAGCATATTCTATAAAGTCTAGAGCAGGGTTTCCCAAACTTGGGTCTGTAGCTGTTGGACTACAGTTCCCATCATCCCTGACCACTGGTCATGCTAGCTAGGGATGATGGGAGCTGTAGTCCAAAAACAGCTGGAGACCTAAGTTTGGGAAACATTGGTCTATCGACTTGTTTTCACAACACAACACAACCAGCCAGCAGCCATCATAGGCAACAGTGGTGCTCCAATGCGATGGAGCTGCAAAATAAGGGTATAGAAATTTATAAATAAACAAATAAAAATTGCAAGCCCCATAGGAAAAGCCAGAAGCCAAAAGGCTTTTCAAAGTCCCAACTAGCCACCATCTCTTAAGTACACCTCAGTGATGCTGAGAAAATAAATGAGATCACTGGGGTCCTGTGTGTTTACTTCCCCTAGTTCCCTGAAAGCAGAGATATAAATGTGATGAATACCTAACATATTATAAAACTGTTAGTTCAAAAATAGCTCTTCCTTGTACATCAATATAGTGGTACTTCAGGTTACAGACACCTTGGGTTAGACACTTCAGGTTACAGACTCCGCTAACCCAGAAGAAGTACCTCTGGTTGAGAACTTTACCTCAGGATGAGAACGGAAATTGCGCAGCGGCGGCGTGGGGGTAGCGGGAGGCCCCATTAGCTAAAGTGGTACCTCAGGTTAAGAACAGTTTCAGGTTCAGAATGGACCTGCAGAACGAATTAAGTTCTTAACCCGAGGTACCACTGTAATTAGAAAGCCTAAAGACTAAAGGATTATTTTAGAAAGAAAGAAAGAAAGAAAGAAAGAAAGAAAGAAAGAAAGAAAGAAAAGATCGTCCCTTTGGCTCTCGTATATGTTGTTGCTGGGACTTAGTCACATTCTATCACCATCTATTGCCCTGCAGGCACAATTGTCACTCAGACTATGTGGCTGTACCTGTTTGAGCAGGAAGCTTGTGCAGGCTGCATTTGCTGCATTCCTCTCCTATATTCTGACATTGCTGGCTGAGGTCCTCTGTGTCCTGCGTAGGTACCATGGCTGTAGAAAAACAGCTCGCCAACTTGGTTACTTCTCAGCGATGACAAGAGGCTCTACAGTGAGAGCGTTTCACCCTTGCTGTCAAATCTGGTGCCTCTGGCTCTTCTGTCCATGGCAGCGTGGGACAGGAGCAAAGTGAAATCTGGAAGTTACTGAGGGATCCGGGAGCAACTTTTTCTTTCTCTTCCAGCAGGTTTTGCCCTTTTTGGTGACACAGGCTGTTGCTATTTTGGGTAAGCCTATCATGAGCAAGTGGGAGGGCTTTTGCTCAGAGGTATTGTTTTTGCCTTTGAACAAATAGCTGGAGACCTTAGAGGGTTGCGCAGAGAGCTCAACAGGAGTTTCAGAGGTTTGGCTTACAGCTTTCCGCTCCTCCAAGCTGCATATTCCCCCTTCTCCTTTTTTTTTAATCTGTGAAAAAGAAGAAGAAAGAGTTAAAAGAGGCTGCTGTGTCAGCAAGAAGTGGTGCACTGAGCAAGCACAGAACAGATGGTATTCATTACTGTGCCATTATGAGCAATTAAGAAATAAAGTAAGAAAAATGATCACTTTCAGCATACGAATTAGGTTTTAATAACAACAATAACAATAACAATAATCATCATCTGTGCCACAATAAAGAGAAAACAGAACCGCCACCTGAGAGAGGAAAATAGGTATACTTATAGACTGGAGAAGCTCAAAAGCTTCAAAAAATAAAGTTCTGTGCCTGCTGCAAAAAGATGGCCAAGTCGTAGCCAGGCAAGCCTTTCTGTGGAAGGAGATCCATGTGTGGAGAGCCCTAGTGTGGCTGCTCCTCACCTCACAACAGCAGTGGCCACGGCATGGGAGCAAGAAGGGGAGGTGTGGGAATGGGGTTGACCCCGAAAGCCGGGGATGGTGGCTTCATAATTGGGCAGAAGGTGAAAAGGGTACTTGGTAGCTGCAGTGTGTAGGAGAAGGCAGCTGCTGAAGGTTATCATGTGGGTGGTTTGTGTGCGAGGAGGGTTGCATGGAAGGAGGGCAAAGAGGTGGGGAGCTAGGCATGAAGGTGCAGACGGGTGCAAAGAGGGCTGCAGAAGAGAAGACCAGACGTGGCTCCCAGAAAAGGGGCTGGGAAGGTAAAAAGCAAGCTTAATAGTTGCATGGGGTGGGATGGGGAAGCTCTAGGGAGTTAACAGGGGGTGGTAGGGGGTGTTGGGGTGACCAATAGCACAGCCCCTAGTATGTGTACACACACACACACACACACACACACACACACACACACATCCAGGTTCAAATTTCCATCACTCCTCCACAGTTGTGACTGATGCCTTTCACTTACAGTTACAGAAACATGGGAACACAGAACATGCTCAGTGTCCCTTACACTGAATGCCAATGCCCCAGACCTTATTGACAGGGATCTTAGGTATGTTCACATGATGCATGTGTCAATTTATTTATTGAATTTATATACCACCCTATACCCAGAAGTCTTGGGGCAGCTCACAGTAATGTCAGGTAATGTAATGTACTCCATGTAAGTACTTACTTTAAAAACAGCCTTTTTACATCATTTCTACAATATTGTGTCCTCTAAGTATATTAGTCTTTAATGACCTCTGTGCAGTAAGAATCCGTTGTAAACGGTGTGAGTGAGAAACAAATGTTTGGCTTTGAAGAAAGAACACTGCTACCGGGGAAACAGCAATAAGATATTAAACTTATCCAAGACGCTTGGTATTTCAGCACTTCAAAACAAAACTGGACCAAGACACACATCAAAAATCGAGGTGCTTCATTTCCTTGGAACTAAAAGGAATAACATGCAGCCAGCCCACGCTCCCTGCCACCGCCAAAGAACAACTCAAGATCAGCACATATCTGATCACCAGTATTGCAGGACTAAAGTCTCTCTGACCATGTGTTGACTGACAGAGTGTGAAAGAAGGAGGCTTGAGCAACTAACCCCCGGATAGTGAAGCAATGAAGATCTAAGAGTCTGGACCGAAGATGGCACATTTTCGCAAGATGGGCAAGAACTCTGCACCCACTTGGAACATCCCAAAGTATCTGATGCAACTGCTCTGCTCCTTCCTCTTCCTTAGTTTGCTGAAATAGAATGTGGCATTTTATGTGTGTGTCCCCAAAGTGTCTCCCTATTTCCTTGAGGTTGGGCTTTATGCAAAACATTATGCATAACACCACACACAGAAATTCATTTCCTACCCCTCCTATAGCGGGGGTGCTATATTATACAGGTCCTCTCTCCACACTCATCCGCCAGTCATAATGATGAGAATTCTGCTATCCAGTATAAAATAGCACCATCTCATTTGCATTGAAAGAAATGGGGATATGCTTTTCTACCAGCCCGATTGCAAACACAACAAAAAGCATGAAGCCACACTCACACCAAACAACAGTAATGGGGTACAGAGGTCTATTCTCACAACCATTCAAGAAAATTTTACTTGTGAGGAAAGTTGAGCAGGTCCTGTGCATGCCTGTCATCTGCTGAATATTGATTATGGTATGCTATTACCGCTACCTTCAATCTGAGTTAGTAACGACCAAGTTCAGAATGTGGGGCTGCATGCACACAATGCTAGCTAGGGACAGGTCGAAGCAGCTGGGAATCATCAAGGGTTAGGATTTTCCCAAAGTTGCACTTAAACACAGTAGATTCTGATTCCAGCAGCTATCCAGCATCAGCTGCTGAAGTGAATGTGGGAGTTGACAGCAGCACTCTCCTGGTAAAGTTAAGCAGTGGATGAGGAGAGTGATGGAATTACCAGTCAAGTCAACAGGCCCCAAAATAAATCAGGAGCAGCTGTTGAAGAAGAACTTAATTCTGCTTCTTTCTGGTCTCGTTGTTTTTTATGGCTTCTCAAAGTCTGACTCAAATGAATTTTCACAGCTATTAGGATGTGTTCTTTGTATAAATTGGGGACAAGTCACATTGAATGGATTTCTATCTACTATGCTGCAACTGGAACTGCTCATTTGTCTTAAAATTGATGAATTCATGTTCACCAAAAGAAAAGAATTGTGTTTATGACCTTATTACTAGTATTGCACACAACAGCAGATAATCTGTAACTCAGAGGGAAGCCATTCATGCCATGTTGGGTGAAAAGCTGAGACATCAATATTATTCATGTGCAGTTGTCGATCTACTGTAGGAAGGAACTGGAAAGGGCTCTGGCTGCACTGAATGCATACAAACAAAGAGAGGAAGCACAGGCAAGTCCACACTGTTCAGTAAAGAAAATCCTTTGGAGAGAATGTATCATAAACCCAGAATGCACACTGTACGTGCATTCAGTCAACAAAAGGCAGGTCACATCGCTTCAGATTTTTTCTCTGTGGGAGGGAATCGTAAGTACAATTAGCTATGTTCAGAATTCAACAGACATATGACCTTATGAGCAATGCACTCCCCACAGGGCAAAATGTCTTGTTAATAAACATTAGTACCGTCCAATATCCCAGAACTGACGTCTATAAAGCAGCAGGCTATGTACATCATCTCTACAAGTTACAGTTACTGCAGAAAACCCACTGCTTTTATTCTGGTATTTTGAGAGGAAACCTGTCTCTTTAAACATTGACATAAATATGTCTAGAAGCCTGAACCCAATTAGGAAGTTCAAAGAAGTGCAAGCATGCATTAGCCGCACTTCACGTTTTGCTGAAGAAACTGCTGGTGCACAACACTAGTGTCTCTACAATCATAAGGTGAGGAGTTGACTTTAGTAAATTAAGTGTACACCTTTGACCTTTGAATTTAACAGTCCAGAAGGGTAGCTGTGCAGTGAAAACAGCAAAGATGCAGACCATTCAAATAGGTTAAACCTATCAGCATCAGCCTGCAAAGAAGATGCATGCCTGAGACAATTTTTATTGATGCCTAGTGACTGAGTTAGATAATTAATGTAAGGTACCCAAGCTTTGGGGATATTTCCTTTTTCTCTTCTTGTGTAGCGGTGGGCTCTCTGCTTCCTCAAATCTGTGTTCATAAACATCTAACACGTTCTCTGTCCACAGATGAAGGACTCTCTTGCCCATGATAGCTTACACAACAATGTATTTATTGGTCTTCAAAATGCCACTGGGCTATTTGCTATTTCACATATGCCTGCTTAAGGCACTTGTGAATATGTCTCATAAAACCTGAGGTTGTTACAGCAATAAAACAGGCTTTGCAATGCAAATCTCTCCCCTTCTTCATAACTATATATGGTACCGAATTGACAAGCAGCAGAACAGCACCAACTGGCCCCTGCAGGCACCTTCAAGGAGGAGGCAGGGCCCTGCAGTTATCCTGCCATTGGCCACCAGCACAACCCCTTCATGGGTACTTCACTCTTGGATTTAGCCGCACGGTTACAGCTTCCGTCTGAAATTGAAGTGTAAAAATAAACAAAACAGCAACTTATTTATCACCTCATGCTAATCAGCCATGCAAATCATGTCATAGGCTGCATGGCTCTGCACTCCAACAGGATTGTAACAGATGCCAAGTGCTGAAGGACTGGCTAAGCTGGACACCTGCAGCATCTAGGTTTGTTTTCTTTCCCTCCCTCCCAATTTCTTTTCCTTTTGTGCCATGCCTTGTAAGCCTAAGGCAGGGACTGTCCCAATGATATATAATCATAGAGTTGAAAGGACCCCAAGGGTCATCTAGTTCAACTCCCTGCAATGCAGAAATTTCAACTAGAGCATCCATGACAGATGGCCATCCAACCTCTGCTTAAAAACCTCCCATGCAGGAGAGTCCACCACCTTCCAAGGGAGTCCGTTCCGCTGTTGAACAGCTCTTACTGTTAGAAAGTTCTTCCTGATGTTTAGTCAGAATCTCCTTTCTTGTAACTTGAAGCCATTGGTTCGAGTCCTACCCTCCAGAGCAGGAGAAAACAAGCTTGTTCCCTCTTCCATGTGACAGCCCTTAAGATGCTTTGTGAGGTGCTCTGTGAGCCTTTTGTCAGCTGAAGAGTGGGATAAATATGCTTTCCATAAATAAATATAAATATATTTGGCAGAACTCTGAAATACAAATTGACCTAGTAGTCCTGTATTTCGATGCCAGACATGTGAAGATTGGCTTTTGTGGTTACAAAGTGAATTACTGTGTGCATGCATGCTGGGTGCTCAATTCCACTCAGCCTGATAAAATACCCTCAGTACCATTTCTGGTCCTGACAATGACTTCTAAAACAAATTTCCTACCTGAAATTAGGGAGCTATCTATCATCTATCTATCTATCTATCATCTATCTATCATCTATCTATCATCTATCTATATCTATCTATCTATCTATCTATCTATCTATCATCTATCTATCTATCTATCTATCTATCTATCTATCTATCATCTATATCTATCTATCATCTATCATCTATTTATCATCTATCTATCTCAGGGTGGTGGTGGTTGTAAAAGTGACTACCTCAGCACCTAGTCTATCTAAGGCTTATGCTATGTTTAAAAGATGTGGTCATTCCCAGTTGTAGATCCCCACAAAAATAACATCATATAGCAGGGCAGGGGACCCGTGGCCCTCCAAGAGGTTGCTGGATGAGAGTTCCAACACTCCAACCCAAACATCCTCTTGAGGGACACAGGCTCAGCAACCCTATCACATGTCAGGTGTCCAGAGGACTTTGCGTACATAACATTATTTGTTCCATTCCCTTAGTCTTCCCATATGGGGCAAATACAAGCATCAGCTTCAGTAGACAGGTGGTTATCACTGGCAAACAGCATGGAGGAAAAGGGTTAGCCCTCCCCCTTATCTCAGCATTGCAGTCCTGATCACATTCAGTGGCCCATGCAATGGCTACTGAGATTACAAAAAAACAAGTAGGGCAACCAGTCAAAGGTTTTCTGGTGTCATATCTAGGCTGCAAACATACTCCCATTTGCTCTGCATCCGGTGCACTCCCACTGCTTGTTTGGGAAACAGCATACACACAAAGTTCACCACAGTTCATAGGTATTGTGTCATTTTTAAAAATGAAATGCTGTCCCCCCCCCCCAAAAAAAACCCCCAGCTTCAGCCCAAGCTGAGAAAAACAACATCATTGAGTTTTAAGCCAGTGATGTGTACACAGCCCTAGTTTGGTCTTGTGATGAGTTGTCAATGTTGACAGGGGGTGCTAACACAGGAACATAAAGGAAAGCACAGCTTTGGTCTGCCAAAGATCCATCTAGTCAAGGATCCTTTTCTCAAAGTTGCCAACCAGATGCCTGTGAGAAGTCCAAAAGCAGGAACTGAGGGAGCAGTGCTCTCCACACTTGTGATTCACAGCAACCGGTGTTCAGAGGCATACGGCCTCTGACAGTGGAGGGAAAACACAGCCATCGTGGAGGAGCCTGGGGCGGGAGGAAAAATAGCTCATTCGGTTAGAGTGTGGTGCTGATAATGCCAAGGTTGCAGGTTCAATCCACGTATGGGACAGCTGCATTGCAGGGGGTTGGACTAGATAATCAGGGTCCCCTCCAACTCTACAGTTCTATGAAGAGTGGTCCAAGGATGTGGCCACAGCTAAGTGCCGCCCTGAAGCAGGAGCTTCCTCACTCACACTCTGGTCTTAGCCACTGAGTTTTACCGCCTTCTTAGTGGTACAATACGACCTGGAAACTGGAAAACATCCTTTCCCCTTTCTTTTTAACAAAAGATACCACTGCATATGCTTTTACAGCTGCCGTTAAATTTTCTGGCAGGACTGAGCTGTGGCATTAAAAACAAGCTCAGAGTTGAAGTGGCCCCACTTCTGATAAAGCCCTGGTGAAAGATGCTTTCTCATATTTGGGCTCTACATAATCATTGTTTCTTTTTAAAAAAGAATGCCAACCACAAGGGTTTTTGGAAGCCAACACTGAATGACAATCTGTCCTCTCAGTTGTCCGAGAGTTACCCTCCAGCCCAGCCTCCCCTTTCCCCCTGCCCTTTGCTCGCCCAGGTGTATGAGCTTACCTGCTGTTGCCAGGCAGCAGGGCTGCAATCTCTTCTGCAGGGTTTCCTTTCTCTCCCTGACCTGAGGCTGTGAGACGGGAGGAAGGCGGAGAAGCAGGGAGACGCCAGCCGACCTTTCTACGGCTGCCTCTTTTCAGCTGCTAGAGTGGCCCCTGCTGACAGGAGGGGAAACTGCGGGACTCTCTCCCAAGTTAAAACGAGGCCTGCAGGAGAAATGTGATATAAGGGAATGGCTGGGGTGTTTGGCCTCCATTAGAATGTGCCAAAAATGCAATCTGCAAATACGACAAGCACAAGCTTGTGTCAAGGGAGAAACGTGCTAAGAGGAAGGCACCGTGAGCAACTCCCGCCCGGGAACCAATGTCCCCACTGTGGAAGGACATGTGGATCCAGAATTGGCCTCCACAGTCACTTACGGACTCATTGTTAAAACCATGTTTATGGAAGACAATCTTACTCGGCTACAAGTGATCGCCAAAGAAGAAGAAGACATTAAAAGCACACCACTTCCCTCAAAGAAGACCAGGAACTGTAGTTTACCCCATTACACAGCGCAGTTCCCAGGATCCTTTAAATGTACAGTATGGTATGTATGCAGCAGTAATAACAACAACAACAACAACAACAACAACAACAACAACAACAATAACCCAGGACTAGCTCTTTCCTAGGTCCTGATCTGACATTCAGTAGACTTTTGGGTCAGGAATCTGAGACCCTCCTTCCAACAGAGGATTTTTCCTCTGTCTCCGTGTTTCTGATTTTAGAGTCCTTTAGGCATGATATAGGAATTTGCCACCTGAGGTTCCTGGACTGGAACCCTGCTTCTCCCTCCAAGCGAGTTTGCAACCATAAGAACTATGTAACAAGGTCTATCCTGCAAGACGGCAGAAAATCCCAAATAACCGTAGTGCCTCATCCGATAAAGAAAGAAGCAACTGCATGTGCTATGTAACAAATGAGAACTTTATTCCGGGTGTCAAAACATTGTATGTAATTATGAAACATTTTCTGAAGGTCTCGGGAGGTTTCAAATTGTATGTGTTACTTTATGCTTGTTACTTTGTGTTCAGTGAATATCTAAATGGAAATTGCAACCTTTCTCTGTAATTGTCACTTCCTAATGTAAACTATGTTTCTTGGGAGGATGAAGGCCTACTCTGTATCCAATCATCCATGGACTATCTGCTGCAACTGTGAAATCTTGAAAATCTAAGATTAAATATCAGCCACCAGTCATCCTTTCTTCCGTGCACTTGGGAAAAGAAAAGGTCGGCGTGTTCACTCAGTCACCTAAACTATACCTACCTTTTGACGTGCCCAGAGGGAACAATCTCCCCACACTCCACCTAACCCCACCACCCATCCGCAAAGCCCCAGGTAACCCATGGCATACTTTCTTACATGTACATGATGTAGGCCTGGCACAAACATGGAGGACATGGGAAATGTAAGATCACCACCGAAGGATATAAAAGCAGGGCCTATCTTTTTTTCTGGGTTCTCTCACCTGCCTCTCACAGACGTGGAAGGGGAGGGGAAACGCTGTTGCAACAGTACTTCAATAAAGATCAGGTCTACTAACCGCCTTGCTTCAAATACTTTGGCCTCAGGCTCCTTACATCCCGACTGACAAAGGGCTCTTTGAGCTTCTTTGAGTGCGGGGAGGGTTCTGTTGGGTTCAATCTCTCTCCCGTTCATTGCATTCATCAGACACAGGGTATAATCTGCAGAGGAGAAGGCAGGCAGGTATCTACATTGCTCAGTGACATCTGTTAATGATTGCTAAACATAAGAGGCTTTGACATTGAAACAGACCTTTCAGAGAGCATGAAGTTATCTGGAGATTGTGCGTTGACTGGCATCCAGAAGGTGATGAATACTCTTTTGGATACCAGAACTGTCATCTTTTCTGCTATAAAGCACCTCACAAATGGTCTCATGCCATTGAAAAAGTGACTAGATGTCCTGAGAAGATAAGCAGAGCAGTTAAACCTGCAATGCAGGCTGTATTTAGGAAGAATAGCTGAAAGCATTGTACCAAGAGGGCATAACAGGCACCGGTTAATGTCAGGCATTCTCCTTCTATAGGAGGCTGTGCCAATAGACGCAAAGGTTGCATTTTACTCTCACCTTCCAGTGGAATGTCTAGGGCCGTAGACCTATGTGGAAGTAAGTTCCATTTAACACAATGAGGTTTCTGGGTATATAGGAATTATCTGGACACACATTGTCAGAGCTGCTTCCAGATCCTAGCTCACAGAGGATCACGCTAGCCAGCGACCATTAAACAAAAGTCTTTATTGAGTTACAGTTTCCATTCTCAAGCTGCTGCGTGCAACTCTACGTCTCATGCTTAGATCGGCGAAGCTCCGTCTGAGTCTCCGCCCCTTGTACACCAACTTAATATCCTAGCCCTGCTCCACCTTTTCCTCCTGACTGTTCTTCTCTGGGTCCCTCTGCCCCCCGGGGTCTCTTCCTTCCGGGATTCCTCTGACGCTGACGCTGACTCCCATGACTCTTCTCCCTCCTTTCGGCGGGCTTTAGGACCTGGCTCCCTTTCCGGGCTGCCTACTGCACGACCTTCCTGTGCAAGTGAACGAGCGCGCGCGCCCAACCTTCCACCTTCCGTCTGACCGTTTCTTCGCTCCCCGATGGAGGTGTGGCCACTCCTGACTCGTGCCCTCCCCCCTGTTGTGAGTTGCCAGCGCTTGATCCCTGGTGCCCTTCCTCTTCCCTGCTCTCTGGCGGTGACGTTGGTCCCGATTTCCAACTGCTCCCCTCTGAGTCCCCTCTGGCTCTATCTTCCTGGGGTGTCCCCCTAGGCTCCCCCTTGCCCTGGCCACTGGTGCTCCTTTCTGTGAATCTTCTGATTCACTGGAAAGACTCGGAGATCTCGGGTCGTCGTCATCACTCATCTTTTCTTCTGCCTCCTCCCCTCGCTCTCTGTTTCCTCCCTTGCCCTTGCCTCTGCTCCTGAACCCCTGACATCCATCCCCCTCGAAGCCCCCTCTTCCCCCTCCCCTCCTTCCGGTGCGGTAACTGTGTGCTGCATTGTAAGGGTTGACGAATGTCGGATACAGTTCGCTTCCCGTGGCGGGCCGCCATCTGAAGTCTTCCGGTTCTTCCTCCCTGCTCTCGTTGACGACGGTCACCTCCGCTTCCATCTCTGTGCCGCCGTGCTCGAAACCCGGGTCGTCCCCGAAGAGATCCATGTCCGTCTCTCCTCGTTGCCTTCTGGAGACGTTGCTCGTCCTGGACCCTCCAGCCACCTTCTACGGAACTGCTCCTCTGGTCGATCATCCCACCAATACGAGGGTTCTGAAGCAGATCCTGAGGGTGACCCCTCCGGGGAACGGGCGTCTCGTGTCGGTTCCTCGTCCGAGTCGAACCCCGGAACGTGCTGGCTGAAAGCGTGGGCGTGAAAAGCCAGTCGTCGAAAAGTCTGCTGGCATTGGCCTATGTGGGAAGAGGGCATGAAACTCTTCTTTGAGCAGAGGTTCGTCTAAAGCGTAGCCCGGCACCCAGCTGTTGGCACTGGTCGGGGTGCCCTCCTTGGCGAGAAGGTATTCTACCCCCTCTTCCCCCCATCTGGAGTCCAAAATCTCCGTGACTTCGTTGATGCGCTCCTCCCGTGCCACTCCCCCCTGCCCGGTTCTCTCTCGGAGCGGACCCGGTGCCGTTCCTGGTTCCTGAAACCTGTGAGGTGCCTTGTAGGGAGTGAGCACCGATCTGTGGAACACCGGATGCATTCTGGAACCCTCCAGAAGAGCCAGCCTGAAAGCCACCGGGTTGACCTGTTCTTCGACTTGGTAGGGCCCCAGTTGTTTATGCCCTAGTTTCTTCTTCGCCAACGACCTGGCCGGCACTGCGTGGGCTGCTAACCAGACCCAGTCTCCCACATGGATCTCTTCGCCAACCCTTCTGTGTTTGTCCGCTTGTACCTTGTATGCGTGTTTAGCCAGCTCCAGGTGCCGCCGCAGCTGATCGTGGACCTCCTGCAACTCCGACGCGAATGCATCTGCTGTCTGCGGCTCCCCCTCCCCCATTCTTTCCAGTCCCGGGAAGGTTCTGGGGTGCCTCCCGTTGTTGGCGAAGAACGGCGTGACCCCCGTGGACACGTGCTTCGTGTTGTTGTAGGCGAACTCGGCGAGAGGCAGGTAATCCACCCACGTCGCAGGCTGTTGATTCGCATAACATCTCAGGTACTGCTGCATGATGGCATTGACCCGCTCCGCTTGCCCATTGGTCTGCGGGTGTCTAGCCGACGCCAGGTTGATCTTGACGTTCAGGAAGCCCATCAGCCTCTGCCAGAAGTTCGAGATGAACTGTCGCCCTCGGTCGGACAGAATAGACCGCGGCAGACCGTGAACCTTGAACACGTGGTCTATGAACAGTTTGGCGGTTTGTTCCGCCGTGGCTACCTTCGCACACGGAATGAAATGTGCCATCTTGGAGAACAAGTCCACCACCACCAGCACAGCCGTCTTGCCCCTCGAGCTGGGCAGATCCGTGACAAAGTCCAGGGCCACTCTCTCCCATGGTTCGAACGGAGTTTGCAGCGGTTCCAGCAGTCCGGCCGGCGGTCTGTGCACTGGTTTGGCCCTCTGGCAGGTGTCACACCTCGCCACGTAGTCCGCGACTTCCCCTCTCATTCCTGGCCACCAGAAGTCTCTGGCTACTAATTCCACCGTTTTCTCCTTGCCAAAGTGCCCGGCAGTGGGCGCGTCGTGCAGCTGCTGCAGTACCTTGGCTCGAAGTTCGTCTCCCGGCACGTAGATGGCCCCTTTACGGATGAGCAAACCATCTCGCAGCTGGAACTCGTCGGTCGCTGCCGTGCCCCTGTGCGCCTCTGCCATCTTTGCTTGCGCGAAGGAGTCATCCTGCAACGCTCGTCGCACCGCCTCCAGGTCAACTGTCGCCGCCGTGCACGCCCACACTGTCGGTGCGAAGATGTGCATGGCGGCCGCTGGCGTTGCCTCCTCCAAATACTGTGGCTTACGGGAGAGAGCATCCGCCATGATGTTGGTGTTCCCCGGGACATACTCTATTCGGAAGTCGAAATTCGCAAAGAACTCAGCCCAACGTATCTGCCTCTGGTTCAGGAACTGTGCCGTGCGCCAGTGCTCTAGATTCTTGTGGTCCGTGCAGACCTGCACCGTGTGCTTGGCGCCGATCAGGAAGTGCCTCCACGCTTTGAACGCTGCATGAATGGCCAGCAACTCCCTGTCCCAGATGGTGTAGTTCTGTTCGGACTTGCTGAGCTTCCTTGAGTAAAACGCTCCCGGCCTCCAAACCCCCTGCGGGTCCTTCTGCAGCAGGACTGCTCCCACGGCTCTGTCCGAGCGTCTGTCTCCACCCTCATCGGCCTGCTGGGGTTGACATGAAGCAGTTGCTCTTCCGACGCGAAGAGACGCTTGAGTGCCTGAAAGGACTGCTCCGCCTGCTCTGTCCAGATGAACTTCTTTTTCTTGGAGCTGAGCGTGTCCGTGATGGCCGCTGTCTGCATGGCAAAGCCTTTGATAAACTTGCGATAGAAGTTCGCAAAGCCGACAAACCGTTGGACCTCCTTCCGGTTGCGTGGGCTTTTCCAATCCAACACTGCTCGGACCTTGGTGCTGTCCATGGCGAGCCCTTTATCAGACAACTTGTAGCCCAGGAAATCCACCTCCGTCACGTCGAATTGGCACTTCTCCAGCTTGGCGTAAAGCCTATGTTGCTGTAGCCTGCTCAGCACTTCCTTGACGTGCCTGTCATGCTCCTGCTGCGATTCCGAAAAGATCAGGATGTCATCCAAGAAACAGACGCACGTCTTGTAGAGGAGCCCCGCCAACACGTGATGCATGAAAGCTTGAAAAACGTGGGAACCATTTTGCAATCCAAAAGGCATAACTCTATATTCGTAGGTGCCCAGGGGCGTGAACATGGCTGTCTTCCACTCATCTCCTTCCCGCATGCGAATGAGGTTGTACGCCCCTCGCAGGTCCAACTTGGTGAACACGCTGCCCTTCCGTACCTTTGCGAGGAGGTCGTCGATTCGGGGCATGGGGAAGTCCGATGGCTTGGTCACGCTGTTCAAAATGCGATAGTCCACTACAAGTCTTTTTTGGGGCGTGTCCCGCTTCTTAACAAAGAATACCGGACTGCCCCCCCGCTGCCTTGGACTCTCGGATGAAACCGCGCTCCAAATTATGATCTATAAACTCTTTGAGTTCCTGCAGTTCGTCCTCAGACATGGAATACAACTTCCCTTTGGGCAGCGCCGCCCCCGGCAGCAGGTCAATTCTGCAATCATATGGTCTGTGGGGGGGTAGCCTGTCTGCCTCCTTCTCACAGAAAACCTCCAAAAATGCTGCGTACTTGTGGGGAACCGCTTGCAGCGTGCCTAGCTGCAGCTGTGACTCCTCTTCCTCTCCTTCCTGCCGGGGCACGATGCAGTGTTCAGCGCAAAAGGAAGAGCCGAAGGTCAGCTGCCTCTGGTACCAAGCCAGCGTCGGGCTGTGCTTGTCCAGCCAACTCATGCCCAATACAATGGGCGTGTCCGATAGTTGAGTGACATTGAAGCTGATGATTTCCCTGTGATTCCCAAGTCTCATCACCATTGGTGGCGTCTGCTTCACCACTTGCCCCCCTAGCAGCTCCCTGCCATCCACCGTGACAACCTGCAGGGGCAGCGTGGCAGGCAGCAACTGTATATCGTGCCGGTCGACAAAGTCCTGCCCTATAAAGTCCGCATTGCTTCCGGAGTCAATGGTGATTGGCACGTCCATGGTGATGCCATTGGGCAGCTGGAGCGACGCGGTGAGCCTCACTACTGGTTTGGGCGGGAGGGGTCCATGGGCTGTAAAATCTCTGGGGACTGCTTCACTGACACGTCTGGCTGGGCCCCAGTGCCTCTTTCTCCAGCCAGACTCCGTCGTTTCCCTGCCGTGGTTCTCCTTGCTGCGTTGCTGCAGTTACCATTGCTGAGGCTGCAGTGTGCTTGTGGAGCCTCTGGGGACACTCTTTCGCCATATGCTGTGGATCATCGCAGATGTAACACTTCCTGTTCCCTCTAGGAGGCTTCGCTTTCACCGCTGCCGGTGCTAGGGCTCTGGCTGCTGACTGAGCCCTCGCACCTCCAACCTCCATAGGTTCCGCTCCTCCTCCTGGCGGAGGCGTGGATTGCGCACGCGCTGCTTCTCTGGGAAGGAAGGAGGAGCCCCTGGCTGGTTCGCGCCCTCCACGCCCTTCGTCCCTGCTCCACGGACGTTCTTCCAGCCGCACCCCCACCGCCAGCGCCCTCTGAACGATCTCCTGCGTGGTCCGGGGTCTCTCCCCTCGCAATTTCATCTTTAACCGAGCCGTGCAATCCCTCCCAAAACAGGTCTCTTACAGGAGCCGAATCTCTGTCCCATTCCAGAGCACTGACCAAAGCGAAAAGCGGGCATGGTACTGCCTTACGCTGGCCCTCCCTTGCTTCAGTCCATGTATCTGCTGCCGAGCAAGATCCACGTCAATGCTTGAATAAAAGCACCCATCCATCGCTTTAATAAAGGCATCCGCATTTTGGAGCGCCGGATCCTTATCTCTCCACAAATTGCGCAGCCATGCTTTAGCATCTCCATGCAAATGGGACATGATGAATCCCACCTTCTCTTGCTCATCTCTAAAGTCTTTGTTCAGCAGTTGCAGTGCACACATTACATCTGCTCTAAAGTTGGGGTACTGTTGCAAATTCCCATCGAAGTGAGAGACCAGACCGCCTGTTCGTCTTCCCAACCCAATCCCCTCCGGTTTGGGTGTCAGTTGCCCTTGCTTCGTAAGCACTTCCAACCTGACCTGGAGATCCCTGTAGGCGGCAGCTGCGTCCTCCTCTCTCTTCCTGGATGCAAGAGCCTCGGCATTCAGTCGTGACACTGCTTCTCTGAGTTCCGCTATCTGCTGTTCGGCCGTCATATTGTCTGCCGTTCGTGAGCTCGCTAGTAGGCACCCGCTTTCTCTCCTCTCCGCGAGGCCGTAGATGCCCACAATTTAGGGGACGGAGCTTACTGTCAGAGCTGCTTCCAGATCCTAGCTCACAGAGGATCACGCTAGCCAGCGATCATTAAACAAAAGTCTTTATTGAGTTACAGTTTCCATTCTCAAGCTGCTGCGTGCAACTCTACGTCTCATGCTTAGATCGGCGAAGCTCCGTCTGAGTCTCCGCCCCTTGTACACCAACTTAATATCCTAGCCCTGCTCCACCTTTTCCTCCTGACTGTTCTTCTCTGGGTCCCTCTGCCCCCCGGGGTCTCTTCCTTCCGGGATTCCTCTGACGCTGACGCTGACTCCCCTGACTCTTCTCCCTCCTTTCGGCGGGCTTTAGGACCTGGCTCCCTTTCCGGGCTGCCTACTGCACCACCTTCCTGTGCATTTGAACTTGGCGCGCGCCCAACCTTCCACCTTCCGTCTGACCGTTTCTTCGCTCCCCGATGGAGGTGTGGCCACTCCTGACTCGTGCCCTCCCCCCTGTTGTGAGTTGCCAGCGCTTGATCCCTGGTGCCCTTCCTCTTCCCTGCTCTCTGGCGGTGACGTTGGTCCCGATTTCCAACTGCTCCCCTCTGAGTCCCCTCTGGCTCTATCTTCCTGGGGTGTCCCCTAGGCTCCCCCTTGCCCTGGCCACTGGTGCTCCTTTCTGTGAATCTTCTGATTCACTGGAAAGACTCGGAGATCTCGGGTCGTCGTCATCACTCATCTTTTCTTCTGCCTCCTCCCCCTCGCTCTCTGTTTCCTCCCTTGCCCTTGCCTCTGCTCCTGAACCCCTGACACACATTAATTGTGATTAAGCAATTTCCTTTTTCACCAGGTTTTTAAGATTTTGAATTCGGTAGATGAAATTGCTGTCAATGTCAGTTTTTCTAATAATAATAATAATAATAATAATAATAAATTTTATTTATATCCCGCCCTCCCCAGCCAAAGCCAGGCTGAGGGCGGCTAACAACAAACAAATAATCAAACAATCAAATAATCCAACATTCTAAAACATTTCATTATAAAAATTAATTAAAATCAAATTAATGGCAACCGTTAAGCAAAGTTCTGTGCAGGTTGCCAGAGGAGGGAGTCAGGCTGGGCCCTGACCAAAGGCCTGGTGGAACAACTCTGTCTTGCAGGCCTTGCGGAAAGATGTCAGGTCCCGCAGGGCCCTAGTCTCTTGTGACAGAGCGTTCCACCAGATTGGAGCCGCAGCCGAGAAAGCCCTGGCTCTAGTTGAGGCCAGCCTAACCTCTCTGTGGCCTGGGACCTTCAGGGTGTTTTTATTTGCAGACCGTAGGTTCCTCTGTGGGGCATACCAGGAGAGGCGGTCCCGTAGGTACGAGGGTCCTAGGCCGTATAGGGCTTTAAAGGTTAAAACCAGCACCTTAAACCTGATCCTGTACTCCACCGGGAGCCAGTGCAGCTGGTATAGTACCGGATGAATGTGATCTCGCAGCGAAGACCCCATAAGGAGTCTCGCCGCGGCATTCTGCACCCGCTGGAGTTTCTGGATCAGTCTCAAGGGCAGCCCCACGTAGAGCGAGTTACAATAATCCAGTCTGGAGGTGACCGTCGCGTGGATCACAGTGGCTAGGTCAGGGCGAGAGAGATAAGGGGCCAACTGCTTAGCTTGGCGGAGATGAAAAATGCCGCCTTTGTTATAGCTGTAATCTGTGCCTCCATAGAGAGGGAGGTATCGAAGATTACACCCAAACTCTTAACGGACGGTGCTGGCACTAATTGCACCCCCGCAAGAGATGGGAGTTGCCCCCCCAATCCCATATCGTCCCGTCCCAGCCAAAGGACCTCTGTCTTCGAAGGATTTAACTTCAACCGGCTTCCACGTAACCATCCAGCCACAGCTTCCAAACATCTGGTCAGTGTGTCTGGGGCCGAGTCAGGATGGCCATCCATCAACAGATAGAGTTGGGTGTCATCGGCATACTGATGGCAACCCAGCCCAAAACTCCGGACAAGCTGGGCGAGGGGGCGCATAAAGATGTTGAAAAACATTGGGGAGAGTATCGCACCCTGAGGTACTCCACACACCAAGGAGTGGCGGGATGACAATTCCCCCCCAAGCGCCACCCTCTGTCCCCGACCGGAGAGAAACGAGCGCAGCCATTGAAGGACTGTGCCCTGGATCCCCACGTCGGCAAGGCGGTGGTCCAGAAGTTCGTGATCAACCATGTCGAAGGCTGCTGACAGGTCTAGAAGAATCAGCAGCCCCGACCCGCCTCGATCCAGCTGCCTGCGGAGATCATCTGTTAGGGCGACCAGAGCCGTCTCGGTCCCATGACCAGCGCGGAAGCCAGACTGGAATGGATCCAGAGCCGATGTTTCATCCAGAAACCTACCAAGCTGTTCAGCAACCGCTAATAGCCAAATAAGCCATCACATGAGTATTCTGAGATTATCTCACAGCCTTTTGCTTTCTTAGAAATGAACAAATCTCACTTTCTGTATCTGCATAGATTTTGTACCTTTATGGACTTATTTCAAAGCTTTGTATTATTAGTTTAGCTTTCACAATATTTAGCCAGATGGACTGACCCAGACCCTGCAATCATTGTCCGAAGCCCTTTGTTGTGTGTCAACACAAGAACAGGGCTTTTCCTGTGGTGGCTCCCTGTGTGTGGGATGCTCTTCCCAGGGAGGTTTGCCTGGCACCTTCATTACATCTCTTTAGGCGCCTAGTGAAAATGTTTCTCTTCAATCAGGCATTCAGCCGATTAACATTCTATGGCTTTTTAAATGTGTTTGTAGGAGGGGGGTTATTGATTTGTTTATGTTTTATTATGTATTTTGTGTTCTCATTTTATATTTTTCTGTTGTGAACCACCCTGGGATTTTTGGGTGAAGGCCGGTATACAAATCAAGTAAGTAAGTAAGTAAGTAAGTAAGTAAGTAAGTAAGTAAGTATTATTAATAATAACTATTTGAATTATTGCTGTAATTAAAATATGCAAACTGATTTATTCTTACTGAGCAAGAACCTGGACCGCATGTCTTTTCCAGCCCACATGGTGGCATCGTTCATCTAAATTTCACTCTAAAAACAAAATAGTTCAGTAGAAAATTCTGCTAGTAGTCCAAAGGTTTCTATAGAGAGCATGATTCTAATAGAAGAAGAAGAAGAGAAGAAGAGTTTGGATTTGATATCCCGCCTTTCACTCCCTTTAAGGAGTCTCAAAGCGGCTAACATTCTCCTTTCCCTTCCTCCCCCACAACAAACACTCTGTGAGGTGAGTGGGGCTGAGAGACTTCAAAGAAGTGTGACTGGCCCAAGGTCACCCAGCAGCTGCATGTGGAGGAGCGGAGACTCAAACCCGGTTCCCCAGATTACGAGACTACCGCTCTTAACCACTACACCACACTGGCTCTCTAATAAAACTCTGGCAAGTGTTAACTGGGTGTTCTGAGCCTTCTTTGGTCTCTTGGCACTTATGCTAACAGGTAACGTTGTCCTGTCACTTGCTACTGTTTGCTGTAGAGGCCCAAAGTATAGTCAATGTACTGATGGAAAAGATCCAGAAAGATAACTGTGCTAGTTCTCTTGCAGCAAAAACAAGGAGCCTTGTGACAACTTAAAGGCTGACAAATTTAATGTGGGATAAACTTTAGTGAATTAAGACCCGCTTCATCAAATGCATGAAGTGTAAGCTGCAGTGGGCAGGCATATATACACATGGGTGTAAGGGTGTGGGGAGTTAAATGGCAATGGGATGCAAAAAGTACAATCTGTGATCATTTAACTGGAGCTTGAATGTACGCAAAAGAAGCAGAGTAATAAATATATGTGCACTGCAATCTTCAGACCATAAAAGCTATGGAATGCAGTTTGTGATTCCTACTTGGTGAATGCAGGGGCTGCCAATGTGGCACTGTGGGCACCATGACACTCTCAAGACTTCCTCTGATGCCCATGAAGCCTCTAAGTCTCCTTGGTCATGAAGTGGGGAGGGCAATTACCTTTTTCTCCCTTTAAAAGTAAATAGAGCTGAGGGAGGAAACTGGAAGAGTCACACTTTTCCCCACTTCCTCTTTCAGCTCTGTGTGCTTTTCCAGGCTCTGAAATTCTGCTTTATCAATTCCCCTTGGAAGGCCAACCCAGGGGGATTGGGGAACTATGTTTTCGGCAAGCACAGACAAGCCCTCTTCCAGTAAATGAGACAGAGCCTGGATGGTTTGTTTATCCATGCTGCTTTGTGCATGTACTTTTCACCCTAGTGTAAAGCTGTATTGCACCTATACTGTAGTGATAAAACAAGGCTTTTATTGCCGATATGGTCAACAGAATCATTGCATATAACAAGTCCACTACATTCCTCTTACATCAGGCATGCAGGTGCAAAACAAGGCCATTTGCTGCTATGGAAATAATTTGGCTTCAAAGCAAGACCTTAAATTGGCTATCAGCCACCTTTCACAGCTGAGCCGACTGAACTCGGCTGCGAGACATGGCTGATGGCCACATTAGCTCTTCCCTCTATGGCAAATTAATTTCATTTCATATAAGCATTTGCAAGTCATGAATATATACAAGAGAAGCAGAGCTGTGTGTATTCTGAATTCCTGAAGTCACAACATCATATACCACATATTTGGTGCCAGGTGAGGAATCTGGTGTGGTTTCAGTTTGGGGGAAAAACAAACAAATGGGGGGGGAGCAAGTTTCTAGATCTTCTGGCTGAAAAATAAGGTTGAAAAGATGCTCAGTGAGATGCGCACAGGATGAGGGGGTTGGTGGTGTGAGAGAAAATAGAAGCTGCCTTCCTATAAGGACCCAGGAGGCAGTTGCTCTTTACTAACCCCATAGCTCAGGCTTGCTTTCAGAGAGCGGTAGCATCTTTTCTGGATTCCAGGTGTTGTTCTTCCCCAGCCCTGCTCTATCTTTTTAACTGAGGATGCTGGGAACTGAATTTGGGAACTTGTGCAAAGCACACGCTCTGCCACTGAGCTATGATCCCTTCCCAAAGGGGAGTGGGGACTTGGCTTGCTCCCATCTCCCATGTCGTATGTGGTGATACTTTGGGGCCTCCCAAGAACCAGGAGTGGGGATTGAATATTCTGCACATCTGCTGGTCATTTCATGCCCAGATAATAGAGGATGCACATCTGATCAACCACTCTGCAATGGGGTGAAATATGCCTTTTGTGAAAGAGCAAAGAAAAAGGAATGAAAGATTTGGCATTTTCCACATCTGCTCTGCAAATCATCCCAGCCCCCGGCCTCTTTAGACAGTTTTTTTAAAAGTAGAGCTTGCCCTTAAATATTAGGTGGTGCTCAGCTATGCGTCAAACTTAGTAGGCACATTGAAATTAATAGGCCGAGCTTAGTCACATCCATGAATTTCAGGGGGTCTATTTGGAGTTGGGTACCACCCTTTGCAGAAGCACAGGCACATGTTCAAAGCAAGGTTCCTTGCTATAGGGTGTGCATTTTCTCTCAGATTAGGTTGGCTAACAGTGGGTGGAAGGTGAACAGGGAGTTATGCACACCATCCCCTCTAGCAGAGATGTGAGATGATTCACTTGTTCGAATCACCAGGTCCTTTTGCTAATCTAAATACATGATGCAACAGGCATGTTTAGCACTATGTGTAGTGACAGGTGAAGAGCAAACTGCTTTAGACCCAGGCAACCTTGTGGTTCATGATTTCAGCTCCAACTTCCAGATTCACACTCATAGTAAGAATGCTATTACTGCAGTAACATGAACAAGTGGGTTCAACCACCAGGGAACACACTAGTGGGTTTTTGATTTTGCACAGCATCTACACAAGTTTCTAGATACTTCTCTGGAAAATCACTCCTTTAGTCTGCTGTCCCCAGCATGCATGTGCTACTGGCAGCCTGAGAATGCCTACCCACCAAGTTGATTTGACAGCTGGCAATCAGAAAAAGTGCCAGGCCAAAGGAGGTCGGATGGCTGTGATAGCATCAACAAATTCTGCGCAAAGCCGTTTCTGTGATAGGAGTTTTCACTAGCCTATTACCAAGGCTTAGCTGTGTTGGTGGACATGCTGGACTGCTTGAGGGGTTTCTCACCAGCCTCTGGTTGGCCACTTTGAGAACAGGATACTGAACCACATGAGCCTTTGGCCTGATCCAGCAGGACTTTTCTTATGTCATTGATTTTCTCACTGGCAAGCATTTTATCAAATAGCCTGACTGTACAATACTGAAAAGATTACTCTTTCTAGAATAGTTTTTGACCCTTGGATGTTTAAAAACATGCGCATTTCATGTCTTGTGAAGGAAAATGCTAATGAAAAGGTGGTTCAGAAGAAATGATGTCGTGATCTTATAAAAGGAAGAACTGACAGCATTTATAGAAATATTGTCCAAGATTTTACTGCAAACCAATGGGTTTGGTCACAAAAATTATACATATTGTATAATAACCATGTAAAGTACATTATAATAGTGGTATAACATTATAAGCCTTTAAAGGTTTTTTTTCCTTTTTAAATATACATCTACTATTGCAACCAACTGTACAAGTCTTTTTACAAATACATACAACCAGGAATGAAAAAAAATACAAACCATAAATAATGCCCAGTTTTACAGATGAACAAAAAAAAGATAATGAAATAAACCAACAGCTTTGATAGACTGCAGCTGGGGCATTTTGGTCCCTAGAAACCCATTCTAAAAATAGAAATATTTATATATATATATATTTATATTTATATATATTTTTCCATAGCAGCAATGCTTTCTTCAAGCATTATGGGTACTAAGTCATTGAAGCCCATCATCATTAATTTTTACATTTTTTTTCTTTAAAAAAATCATCTATCTACACATATTAATTTATTGTCTTCCAAATATGGAAGGAACAAGCAATGCCCCCCATTGTAGAGTCCTGCAAGTGTCGCACTGATGCTTCTGAACAAAGTCCATCTGAAAAATGTGCATACCACACTGACACCATTGTCCTCATAGCAAACTCACACATACACACAAAAGAAACACACGTGTGAATCAGGAAACATTCTTGTGACAGGAAAAGCTTTGGAGCTCACAAGATCTCAGGGGAAAAAAGGCACGTTTTCGTAAAATCATCCCCATCGTATCCAGAAAGATCTTCAAGCTAGGCTTTTCAGAACAAACTCTCTCTCAAAAAAGGTGGGGAAAGGGGGGGATGCACGCAGGATGTTGTTCTTAAGCTTACAATCTATGGCAGTCTATGGCAGCAGTAGCTTCTTCCTTCTTTCCTTCTAAAGGCGATAGCACCACTTTGGTGGGTGGGAAGAACTGGAAGTTGAAATGTTTTGTAAGTTCATTTAAAAGTAGTTAGAATGTGCTCTTCCAAATGAGCGGCAGGAACGACGACAACAAAAGCTTCCAGAAAAATAAAATAAAAATGCAGTTGAAATTAAGGCTGCAAAGCTGCCACACAGTGAGAAGATGTGCAAAAAAAAATTCCCTCTCCTTTTTGAAGGTGACCGGACAAACTGGCAGCTCACACAGAAGGCCAACAGAAGGGTCATTATTAAATGGAGAAAAAAAAAGAAAAAGTACAAACAGATCACTATAATAGAAATTCACAAGAAAGAATCCATGGGAGGGGCATAGGAGAAGCCCAGAAATGCTTCAGCAGCTTCCTTGACGCTGGCAGTGATGAGGATGCTGTCTGAAGACTGGCCAATGGAGTTCGGGACAGGCTCATCTGTAAACTCAGGGTCAAAGTGCCGCAGGTCATTGGGGCCACTCTGAGAAAACAAAGAAGGTTCTGTTGTTAATGTTGGACTGGGAAGAAATGTTCAAATCTTTCCTTAACTGGGAGTGGGGACTACGTGTTTTCTTGTGTTTTTTTCTTGTGTTTTTTTTTTAAGTAAAACCAATCTAGGCACTTCATGGGAAGGCAATTACAAAAAACAAAACTGAATCAACCCCCTGAACTCGTTTCAAACAAAAACTAGAATTCTAATGGTGTGTGTGTGTGTTGGACTGGAGACTGATCTGGATTGGCTGCAGCAGTCTCACAGGTCAACATGCACCTCCAAGCTCATAGAGTTCACCTGACCTGATTGCCTCACCTCATACCTAAACTGCATGAGGCAATTCCGTCCACTTATGTATAAACTCAAGGCGGCATTTAAAAATTAAGACACCTGCCCGATTGCTTCACATTGAGAACACACTAGAACCTGCTAAAACCTAGCCTGTCATTATTTTTATCTTCAACCCCTGGGTACCCCAGTATAAATAGAAAAGTCTCTCCCATAATTAGAAGACAACACTTACCACATTTGGGTTGAAAGGGGGTGTAATCTTCTTATTAATGAGATCATCCCAGTTAATTAGGGAGAAGAAGATGTGGTTCTTAATCTCCATCTGTTGAGGAAATGGAAATCAAATCAGTTCAGGCAAGAGTAATTGGAAAAGACTGTTATCGTCTAGCCAACTTCCGAAACTCACCCACCCACCCCTCACAACTCGCAGGATTATACTTACAAAGTCCTCCTTTGCACCCAGCCTCTTGGTCCTGTCCTTTTGCAGAAGACCTTCCAAAAGGTGTCTTGCAGAGTTGGTAATATTTGGCTTCAGCTGCAGAGGTTTGTTCAAGATGTTGTCATACATTTCTGCTGTGTTTCTGCTATAGAAAGGGGGCTGGAGAGAGAGAAGGGGAAACAGATTTTTAGTCCCAAGAGTCTAACTTATTGTACTACCTGTATCACAATACACTTACTTTGATACCCATTTTGAGGCACTGGAATGGCTATGACACCTGTAACTACATCTTTCCCCTTCTCATGTCCCACCCACCCAAGGAGCATAAGGCAACTGCTTATATCGGGTCAGACCAATGGTCCATCTAAGTCAGTATTGGCTACATGGCTCTCTGGGGTTTCTCAAGTAGGGAATAATTCCCAGCCAGGGACTGACCCCAAGACCTTCGGCATGCAAAGCAGATGATCCATCACTGAGCTATGGCCACATATATGTGCATCATGTAAGAGATCCACATGCAAAATATTGGCTCCAACTGAAGTTCGCAGCATTTATAAATTCAGTGGGACCAAGATTCAGCTCTTTCTTATGCTGGTAACTACTACAGATGGAAACATGACTGGTATGTGTTTGCAATTAGCCAGTTGCTCACTATTTTTGCTTACCAGTCCATAAAGCATCTCGTACAAAACAGCCCCAAGGCACCACCAGTCAACAGTCCGGTCATAGGGTTGCTTGTGAAGGACTTCGGGGGCAAGGTACTATTGAAAAGAAAAAGATAGGAAACATTAGAATAAAGTAGCCAGCCTGCATTCTTTTAAATGCTCCACTTAAAAATAACCTTAGTGACCTGATTGAGTGGGGGCTGCACTTGTGGATAGATGACCACACCAATCTTTGCATCTGTAGAACTTTGTTCTGCAGGAGTCCCTAGGTAACTTTATTTTTGCCCTTAAAGCCTTGCATTTGTAACCTCTGACCTTTCTCTCCCTCCCCCACCCGCTGCAGCTTTGTCAGCAGGGTTCATCAATCAAAGCCTGTCTGACTGCTTCACCTAAACAACACAACATGTCCTTTTGCCCCATCTGGGAAATTCCTCTTTCCTCTGCACACTTTGGGCACATGCATCACTGCCATGTGGATAAAGAAAGCAGAACCCAGACCTACCTCAGGAGTGCCACAAAATGTGGAAGTTGTGCCATTGTGTTCTATGTTCTCTTTGCAGAGTCCAAAGTCAGTCAAGACAATGTGGCCTTGAGAATCCAGCAAAATGTTCTCTGGCTTCAAGTCCCTAGGGCAAAGGAAGGAAAATACACAGGTGAGCCAATGGCTCTCAACTCTTATGTTTCTTATAAGCGATGGGATTTTATCAGGTTTATTTTTTTTTAAGGTGGGGGGTTGTCCCTTTGAAAACAAATGGGTTTGTTGGGTAGCCCCCAAGCACTTTCTAAAGGTCATTTACCAACAGGATTTAGTCTGTGTGCATGCGCAGCATCTATTTACTGGTTCTAACCCATAACCTGGAAGCGAATCTAAAAAATTTGCGATGCACTGATCCCAGTATCCCAGGTCAGTGTCTTGGTTCCACAAGGTTCCTGACCTTCCCTTATTACATATTACAGCCTACTTCCCACAGTTTTCACATAAACCATGCACGTGTGCAAACCATCTGCCCTGCTTACCGGTAAACAATATTCAGTGAATGCAGGTAACCCAGTGCACTGGCGATTTCAGCAGCATAAAAACGAGCTCTTGGCTCCAGGAAGCAACGTTCCCTCTGGAGATGGTAGAACAACTGCAGGAGACAAGGAAGGCGGGGGAGAAATCTGTTAGCGATCCCAAAACCATTAAAAACAATGCATTTAATTAAGCTCTCTCTCTCTCTCTCTCTATATATATATAGCTAGAGAGAACAATGGTAGGAAATGGCCTAGTAATCCGCTGGCTGCTTCCTGCTGTGAGAGGCTGGTAAGCAGGAGACCCTGAATCTAGTAACTCCTCCCCAAGACTCCTCTTCATACTTAATAGGAAGAAAGCACTGCCTTATTTGTACACATGGCAGGGCTGGCTTTGTTTTCAGCAAGGAGTTTCAATGATCTTTGGATCAAGCCCTGTGTATCTTTGGACACACACCCCTTATGGTTCTGTGCTCTCTCTTTGCTTACCTCTCCACCATTGATGTAGTCTAGGACAAAATACAGCTTGTCTGCAGTCTGGAAGGAGAAGTGGAGTCCCACCAGGAAAGGGTGCTTCACGTTCTTCAGTAGGACGTTGCGTTCTGACATTATGTGTTTCTCCTAAGAGGAAGGGAAGTAGGAAATCATTCATTGACTGAGCAGCAGCACAGTAGGACTATTATAATTAGTTTGCCGATTGGCATTTCTCGTGAAATGGGTATAATTCAGTTACGTACCTCTTTCTTTTTCAGGATAGCTTTCTTCTGGAGGACTTTTACTGCATAGAAGTGCTCTTCTGCCTTGTGCCTTGCAAGAAGAACCTGAAACAAAGCAAGACACCCCCTTTGTTTAGGTGTGATCATGATGCAAGGGAACGATCAAGTCACAACTCAGCTATGTCCTTTCTGCTATCATGAGGCACAGCTATAGAGCAACCCTGCACAACTCAATGGACTGGCAGTAAAATGCCACATAATGGGTGGGTGCCACTACCTTAAGGCAGGGAATGGGACAATATAGCCTTCATTTCCCCTTTGTGCCGTATGATCCCTATAGCAAATTTTCTTACATAAATTTTAATGGAACCTTGCTTTTCAAGAATACTCCACCTCACACCCCTTCATAGTCACCAGTTCGCTTCTTATTAAATCCCCCTGGCACTCCCAAGTATTTTGATACCCTTAATATTACAGGCCCATTGACCAAATGAATATGTATGCTTACCTTCCCAAAGCTGCCTTTTCCAATGACCTTCAGGAAATGGAAATCTGATGGTTTAGCATGTGGGTTAGAAGAAGGGCCAAGGTTGATCTGCTGGGATGGACTGGGCTGCAGTGAACAAAAATAATAATAATCAAACATTTGTACTGAAATACTTGGGTGCAGATTATTACTTTTTTAAAAACACAGTAAATTGCATTGCATTCTTCTATGGGGGAAATAATATGCTTGAAAGGTTATGTCAATTTAAAAATAAGTTTTATCTGCTCTAGAGGGAAATGCTAAATCTTTATTGCAAAACACTTCTTTCCAAGTTGCATCACTACAATGTGTCCTGAATGGAAAAACCCATGCCAGATTACCAACGGACAGAACATCTATCTTTAAAACCTGTTGCTATTATTGTCACATTAAAGTCTTCTCAAGATAGGCTGTGCATTATAGAAGCTACTTACTGGAGGAGAAGGATTGGCATTCATAAGTTCAGGCTCTTGAGGCTGGGAGATCTTCAAAATAGATTGAACTTCAGGGCTGCAAGAGATTAAAAGCCAGGATAATTAGTACAGCTGAACAAGGTACAGAACATTAAAAACATTTCACCACCAGGGGGCATGGTAACATTCTAGCTGGAAAGTTTCAGGTTGGCAGGCTGCTAAAAACAACTGGCTTACTAGGTTTCAGGGCTAAGATGAAACCGGAGACAGGAACAAACCATTCTGAGCAAAGAGACTTAAGTTTCCTCTGTAATTAAAGGTCAGAGGAGGGAATGAGGGATCAGGAAATCTAAACTAGGTGCCTTTCTCCAGTTTTCTATTCTTCAGCCAAACAGTAAAACTTAGCTGAATGCAATTAATTCAGAACTTGTGATATTTTTAAATCTAGAAAATTATATTCTGTTTCCTACTATTTTTTTACAGCATCTACTCTACTGCTGGTCTTTTTTTCTTTTTTTGGCATAAGGTGTATCTACTCAAAAGTGAGTCCAATAAGATTTATTCCCAAGTGCATATAGGGTTGCAGCTTTAATGACACCCGCTTCTACCACACAGGTGTCACTAAAGTTACTTTCTAGTAAGTATACTTAGGAGTGTAAGTCCCACTGAAATTTCTGAAATTTACATCTGAGTAGGCATGCATGATACTGTAAACATTTTTTAATTTAACAAAAAAAATTATTTCAACTATCTCTCGCTGAAAGGAGTTATATAATTTCTCATTCTCTGTTAAATTTTAGAACGAAGTTCCATGCATTTCCCAGGCAATTTCTGCAGAAGGGAGTAAGAAAAAAACACAACCCACAAAAAATACTTACTGTTTGCATGCGTAGGAGTTGGTGGCTATCTTCTGAATGAAGTCATTCAGCCCCATTCGTCTCTGTTTCATGAAAGCTGCAAACAATCACAAGAGAGAAGGGGGTTGTTACAGATTAATTCCCCATCTTCTTTCCTTTCCTTTATTTAATTAATGCGCGCACACACACAAGCCCTCTCCATCCCTTGAATGCAACAAGAGAGCCTCATTTCTACAACCCGGTTACAATCAGGAGGGCGCACGCTGTTTTATGCTCTTTTTCTCTATTGCTATCTCCTCCTCGTCGTTCCCACTCACCGATCAGTATTGCCACCATCCCTCTCATCTTGGAATAAGTTAGCGTGGATCCCGAAGCTTCGGCTTTGACCGTCATCGCGTACTTTCTAGGTTTCTCAGTGTTAGGAGGAATAATAATCCAAGCAGATGTGCGAGGGGTAAGAGTGGATGCGCGAGCGCCCTTCCAGGCAGCTAGCTGCTTGCTCGCTCTGCTTCCGAGTTAGGGAATTAGCAGCGGGGGTAAAGCGCGCAGTGTCAAGATCGTTCACCCTGTTGAGTCAGCTCGCGTCTGCCGCTCCGCCGCTCGCCCCGGGGCTTTATATAGGCGCGGCCGCGGCGACAGCCCAGGCGGAGAGGAAGGAGGGGCGGAGCCAGAGGGGAACAATGAGGAAGAGTCTCGCTCTCCCCCCGCCCCAGGCGCCCGGAGCTGCCGGGAGACATGCAGGCCTGGCGCCCGGCCCTTCCCTTCCCCATGACATGTTCCCCTCCCTTGACGTTAGAAAGGAGTCTCGCAAGCCGGGTGGAGAGGAAGAAGCCCGCCAGCTACCACGCACCAGCCCCCCCTTTTTATCCTTTTTCACCCTCAGCAAATTGCAGTGGGATTAACTGGCAGCAGTTCTAGCGGAGGAAAGACAATGCAACAAAGTTCTGGGGTTGCAAACAAGCCTTGGAGAGAGATGCCAGCCTTATTTTTATGTACTGATTTATTGCACGGCAGAATTAGAACTCCGCTCTTTGCCTTGCCAAGGTGCTCAGGGCTCTTGCTGCGTCCTTGTGGGGTCTCCTCCCCGCACTCGTCCACCCGTGTGAGTTAAAGAGATGTGCCCAGGAGGTCGCTGCCCCTCAAAGGTGCTAAATTAGCCTTGGCCAGCAGCCTTTTCTTTTTTTTCTTTTTTTTCTTTTTTTTTTTTGTCCTTTAAATGTACCTGCCTTGTCCCTCAAGGCCACCATAACGCGCAAAGGAAGTCCCATTTTTGCCACTCTTTACACTTCCACAGAGAGACCCGCCGCGGGATAGGATAGCCTTGGTTTTTCAGACACCCCCAGGTCCGAGATGGACCTCATCCAAGGATCGATTTGTTCCAGAGATAAGAACAAAGGCATTTCCGTTGCGACACTCAGCCCTGTCTCCCGCAAGAGGCGCCGAGGGCGGGGGGGGGGGATTGGGAGAGCTATCTCCAGGTCGTTCCCCCCTCCCAACCTGATAATCGGAAGGTGGACCTGGACGTGGAATTTCCATTTTTAATCTATTATGGTTAAATCCACACCGAGAGCGATGTCCTTCGCGACCTTACTTAGCCCCCAGAAACTTACTTTTTTATATAAAAAGTAGCCGTACAGTTATTATATAAAGCAGTAACCAAGGGTGTCCTTGAACATATTTAGATGTTCTGTGAATCAGTGGACAACCACAGCTAATCCACACACACAAACACACACACAGAGAATTAGACATCGGGGTTTCCCGAGAGCTGTGACTCCCAGGCAGGCCGGGGCATCCTTAGACGTTCAGCCCTGCCCTCCTCCTTAGCATTAATCCGGCGGCATTCCCTCCAACATTAGCTATTTATGGCACACCTACATAGGAAGAAATCTCCTTAATCTAAGGCAATGAGAGCAAAGCAGGAATCCCATTGGGTCGGAAGGTCCTGTGCCTCTGGATTCCTCCATCAAGGCAGGCAGAAACTTTTCCTACTCTTGAGAAAATACGCCTTGGGGATCTGAGCCTCAGAGAGCAGACAGGGCTGCTTTTGAGGAGTCTCTGAACTTCTTCTGTCTGTTTCCACCCTCCCTTCCCTCCCTTGCCCTTTTCTTTATAAAACCACCTCAAAGCAACTCCACTGTCGTTCAGACTGCGAAACAGAAACCGCTGGAGTCACACGGTTCCTGCTTTTACCAGATGGTATTTATTAATCGCCAGAGAGCGGCGGGACGGGGCTGTCCAGGGGCTGCCTTGGCTGGCAAGCGCCGGGAGGCTCCAACCACGCGGCTCCAAAGGAATCCTGGGCCGAAGGGAGGCGTCCGGGGGCGGCTGCCAGTCAAGCAGGAGCTCATCGGAGCCTCATAGCAGGGAGGAGAGAGAGTCTCTCTCCCTTCACCCTGCAAGCAGCCCGAACACAAGGAAGGGAGAGACGCAAGCAGAGCTGTAAAGGTCCCCGGCGCTGCGCAGGACTTTCTTACCCAGATCCCGGCCAGAAGCCCCGGTCTTTTCCGTTCCCTGCAACACCGGCGGTTCCTTCTCCGTCTCACATCTGCAGATGTTAAGTTTATGGCAGCCTCCCCACCCCCAGCTCCAAGTATGTGAAGCAAAGGGAACCGGGGAGAGCCCCCCAGAGAGGATCTAAAGGAGAACCTCTGACGTCTGGGGTGAAGGCCGATAAGCAATGGCCTTTCCGCAGGGAGTGACTTCGGGGGGGGGGGGAACTCTTGTTTCCTGCCGCTGCTTCCTCAATCCCACAAACAAGCGCCCCTTCCAGGCAACCGGAGAGACCCCAGAAACCGATTGGCCGGGATATTGCTGAAAGCGCCTTAAAAATATTGGGCGCGTGTGCATGCGTAATAATAATGTTTAAAAAGAAAGAGAAATGCCATCTCATGGAATGAGATGATGGAAATCTCCACATTTGCAAAAAGAACGGGGAGAGAAAGAGGAAGGTGGCCGGGGGGGGGGGGGGGGGAGCTGACTCAGACTGCCACGATTTCTTTTTCTTTTTCTCCATTTGCACAATTGTTTGAGAACACTCTGTGCCCGGATGGCCCGTTTATTTATTTATGCCCGTCTCCGCAGCAGCGTTGCGGAACACGTGAGGCGTGTTTATGAATGGAGTTGGCCGGGACGCCGCCCACCGGTGACCTGAAGCACCGGCGGTGGCACGCAACGGACGGCAGTCATAACATATTGCGGGGAGTGGAACGCGGCGCGGAGAGCGAGCGGAGAGCTTGGGGCTGAGACCTCCCACGACGCAGCGAGAGGGTGGGGGCACCGCCTTCCGACCCGATTGTTGTTACATTCCACCCCACTGATAAAATGCAACACGAATCAATTCAGGACCCTCTCCCCGCAAAATAATAATAATAATAATAATAATAATAATAATAATAATAATAATTCACCTTTGGGCACTGGGAGAGAGGCAAGCTTCTTATCAAGAGCTCGCCTGCTTATTTAGCTCATTATTATTTTTTAAGTAGTAGCCTTCCCATCCTTCCCCTGCAATATATTAAAAAGTCACCACCTTCTCCTTTCTCTTTTCCTATCACTTAAATGTAGTATCTGCGATGCAAGAGCCTCAGCGAACGGACAGGCTTGCAAGTGCAATCCAGGCAGGATGACTCGGGAGGAGGCCCGCACCCGCCCACCCATCAGTCCAAGGGGGCTTTGGTGCAGCAATAAAACTGCAAACACATTTGCTAAAGCTAAGCAGGGTTCGATATTGCTTCAAACTGGATGAGGAACCACGTGTTGAGATTGCTGCACTGCAGGGGGTTGGACTAGATTACTCTCGGGGGTCGAACATACAAAATTGATTGATACCAACTGGATCCCTGGAATCCACTATTTCTTGGTCCCTGAACGTTGCTCAGTTTTCAGCGGTTTTGATTTTTATTGGACTTTCTGCGTAAGCCCCGCCTCCGTCCTTCCTAGCTCCTCCGGCTCGCGCACGCTTTCCTGCGCGCGCCTCTGCGCGCCCACGACATTGTTTTCCCCGACTGTCCTCTTTCAAAGCTGGGGCGGATGGTTTGCAGAACCCAAAAATCCTAAGCAGAAAGCACGAGTTGGAAGCGGGGTAGGCGGGTAGGGCTCTTCCACGCCGGATCTAGAATTAACACCCCAACAAAAGGGCTGGGCGGAAGCGCCTCGGGCCTGTGCGACTCCCACGGGCTGCCAGTTGACTTTGCTGACGCAAGATTGCAAAAGTTGCATTTTGGCTAATCCGTTGATTTTTATTTTATTTTTTAAAAAAACCACACATACAAAACCTTTCGACTCGAATCCTTCAAGAATTCGGGCTGTAGGAAAAAGCCGGGGACCAGTCCTGCTTTATTCCTCCTTTATAACACCACAGCTTTGATTATTAACAATAATAATAATAATAACAATAACGAGATTCCGCCGGGGAACTCAACCCTGATCTACAGCTTCCTCCGCTCCTTTCCATTACACATATCTCCCCGCGGCCTTTTCCTCCGCCAGCAGCGGCAGGGCAGCTTCCGGGAGCCCCCGGCGACACACATAGCCTCTCTCACAAACTTTACAAGCCTCGCATCGCCAGCAGCTCGAAGGGCCGGCGGCGCCTCGGGACTTCCCGCAACGCGCATGCGTTCAAGTCCCCGCTTTGGCTCCTCCTCGCCTGAACCCGGCGAAACTGCTCCTCCGCAGCCGCTGCAAGACTCAGCCTTGGAGCCCCATTCATTCGCGGCTTCATTCACTTATGCTGCTCTAGCGATCAGGTGGTACAAAATGCCGAAGAGTCTCCTCTGTCTGCCCCCCCCCCCCGCCTTGGCCACTTTTCGCCTGCTTGACCACACAGGAAGCTGCTATAGTGCGTATATATATACATATATATAGGGTCAGACTCATGGTCTCCGCTTGGGACCCCCAGTCAATCTGCCTATGTGATCCGCTTAACCGGAAATGCCTGCCAATTGGGATGGTGTTTTAGCCAGTTCACTAGCGGTTGTTAGCCACGGTGGCTGAGCTCTTCTGCCTCCCCTGTTGGAGGCAGCTCGCCTCCGGATACCAGTTGCTGGGAATCGCTGTCGTCCTCCTCAGGCTCTGCTTGCCCCCCGGGGGCTTTGCATAGGTGTCTGCTCCCCCAGTCTGGGAACAGGATGGCGGGCTAGATCTAGGCCAGTGGCCGGACGTGGAAGGGCGCTTCTTACATTCGCAGGAAATGCCAGGAATCGAACCCGGAGCCAGATTCTGCATTCCCAGCATGAACCACGATGCTTCTCATCTAATGTCACTGAGCCAGCCAAGGTCGTTCTCATCCTCATAGCACCACTTTGCCTTCTTCAGCATCATTTGTGCTCCCAGAACATTAGTCCTGTGGCAGGTGGCTGGGTGAAGCAAGCCAGCTGCCCTGGTGAGCCTTCTCTACCAAGAGCGCAAGATTTGCATTCAGAAGGTCCCAGATTCAGTCCCCGCAGCATCTCTAGGCAGGGTTGGGTTTGGGGGAGGAATTGTCAGACTCCCTGGAGAGCTTCTGCGGTCTGCCAGCCAATACCGAGCTTTGATGCACGAATGGCCTTGGGAGAACACATCCTATGGTATTCACTACATCCTTGGAAGGATGCACTTGGAAAGAA